TTATATAGCAATATACCATTATCACATGAATATGGAGTTTATCTTCCAGTTGATTCGATACGCAAGAACACGTTCTAAAAACCAACAATTTTTAAAACGAGGCAAACTATTGACAAATAAGTTTGACATTACAAAAATATCAGCATTTCCGTTTAAAGTCGGCATTTTGCAAATTCTTTGGTCGATCCGTTTAACCGATTATGACAAGGAGCACAGAGCAGGTGTGACCAGTTGACAGGAATGCTTATTCCTCCATGGCACCTGATCCCATTTCTGATGTTTTTACAGGTCCGTGTTTGTTCTGCTCACAAATTGTATTGTTTTAATGGACTTTTTGGGCTTGATTACTGTTCGTTATCTTCATATTTCATGCAAAGTTTTTATTTAAACAGATATATTTACATTTGCAAATGTTTTCTTTTATATAACACTATTGAAAGCAATGCGTATCTATATCCGTATAAACACGGGTTCCTCGCGTCATAAACGTTCGACGTAATTTTTCAGTGACGTCATAAAGGGTCGACGCGCAATCAGAGGATCAAACACGTGCCGTTGGGTTTGAAAAATAAAACGTTTCACGCGTTAAAGATTATAATCAGGCAAATATAAAATATGAATAAGTCACAAATGTAAATATAAGTAATAAGGTATCATTTTTAAACATCTATCGGGCTATAAATACGGGTTGGTACGAGATCAAATTTACCATAAAGCCCTTCGGGCTTTATGGAATTTGATCTCGTGACCAACCCGTATTTATATCCCGATAGATGTTTAAAAATGATACCTTATTTCTTAAATACATGTTATATAATTACATGTACATATATATATTCACATATTATTCCAAAATTTTATATTGTTAATTTAAAAAAAAAAGGAAGAAAGAGTGATGCCTAAATTTTAAAAAGTTCCAGAGTAAAGATTCATAGTTAATCAAAGTAACAAATTATATACTATAGTAAACTATAGTTAAATATATCAATTTTTGTTAGGGACGCAGGTAGTTTTTAAGGCTTCCCGTAGAATATTACACTGCACTCTGTGCCTTCACATCTCTGAACTACCAAAATATGACGTCATAATGGAAAATGACGTCAAGTCACTGCAAACTTGAGGTGTTATGACGGGGAGAGTGTCATGAACTTTACATTTTATTTCAAACTGCATGTAAAATGCTAGATAGCTATTGCAAAATTCACGGGTCGTTAAAGTTTTTTTTAAGTCTTATATGTCCGAATATTCTAAAAATACACCACTTACCTACCCTTGATTGAAATTCAGCATGTTCAAAATGCTTATGAAAAATATACTTTTGAAATGTACTCTGTTTTATACCCGTGGTTGGAGGTAGAATTTATTTTATGTGTATAAAAGAGTCTGGCGCAGGTGATTAATGAGGATTAATCTGAGAATTTTTGTGGAAATCTGTAAGTAGAGTTTGTTCTCTAACTGGATCTTGCTTGGGAAAAATGTGTGTTGGCTTTGTTTTAATACAGATTATGATATTGTGTGGAAAATACCCTCAAATTTGTAGGTAAGTTGAGTTTCTCAGGAAATATTTTGTACCCAAGTAATACCATGACTTTTCCCAAGCACATTTCGGATACACAAGGATACGATGAGTTTATTTATATAACAAAATGTTAACAATTATCGTGTTAATCAGCTGCGCCGAAGCGATGTATGTGGAACACTTCAAAAAATTATAAATGACCGTCACGTGATCAACAAAGTCATGTGATATCATAACAAATATGTTAATATATAGCCGAGGAAACCCTTTATATAAATTGGAAGTACTAAAGTACAATACTTATAAATTAAAACCAAAACCGACCTCGCAATGACACATTATGTTTTGAGCGCATTTTAAAGCTTCGGGAAGCCTTAACATAGCTGCGGAATATTGAAAGCTGACGATGAAAAAACTGGTCATCCTATTTGTCTTTATTTGGCTATTGTCGATTATTGTCAGTAAAACATATAAATGTTAAACTAATTTGACAGACTCTGTAGTGACTTTTCTTTCGAGTTTACTGGGATTTATCGGCTCGGCATAAAAATGAAAGTATCTACTCAGTATATATTGGTAATTGAAAAGCGACGTCGATATATTTTAATGTTGAATTGAAGGCTACAACAAGAGCTTTCTTCTCGTGTTAAAGGTTTTTTAAAAATAAATTCTGCTTCATGGGAATGCATGGATAAAAGCAGAACGGCTGATAAAGGGTTGGTTGGTTAGTTGGTTAAAAAAAAAACAGATGATGACGATATTGGTTTTAAAAAATTACTTCAATTAAGAATACAAAATTTCAAGAAATCTTACCTATATATTTTTAAATGATTATCATACCTGCACTTCCTAAAGAAAGTTTGGGAACATTGTTGTTATCCTTGTCCGTCCGTCCGTCTGTCACACTATCGTCTTCCTCGAACTACTCTTACATTTTAGGCAGGAGCCAACTCATTCTTTGGAATATGATTAGTGGTGCTTTGAACATGTGCAAACAGATTTTGAAATTTTCAATTTAACCCTAACTAAATTGGGGTTAAAAATTACGTTTCTCTACCCTGTTGGTGCCCTGTATATGTACAAAAAGACTTTGAAATTTTCATTTCATACTGGGGGCCAAATAGAGGTCAAAAATCAATGTTTTTCTACCACAGCCTGATTACCTGAACTCCTCTTACATTTTTTGCAGTAGCCCATTCATATTTTGGAATACGATTCGGAGTGTCCTTAGCAATAATGTTTCAGAATTTCAATTTTCACCCTGGGGCGATTAGGAGTCAAAACATTTTTCTGGTTCTCTGAACTCCTCTTACATTTTTCGCAGTAGTCCATTCATATTTTGAAATATAACCAAGAGTGTCCTTTAGATGTGCAATAAAGTTTTGGAATTTCCATTTTCACCCTGGGGGCTATAAGGAATCAAAAATATTTTTCTACAAAAACCTGATTTTCTGACCTCCTCTTAGTGAATATTTTTCGCAGTAGCCCATTCATATTTTGAAATATAACTGGTGCAGTTATGTAGATGTGCAATGAGGTTTCTGAATTTTCATTTAGCCTGGGGGCCAAATGTGGGTAAAAAAGGATTTTTTTTACAAAAAACTTGGTTCCCAGAATTCCTCTTTTATTTACATGGTAGCTCATTCATATTTAGGAATAAGTATTGCTGGCATATTGGGAGTGGGGTAAAATTCACAAAATTTAGGGTATATGAACATCCCCAGAGAGATTGGTAATGGATTTATTATATAAAATACTTACATAAGAGGCCCATGGTCACATGCTCACTTTAGCGATTTATGATCAATTTGGTACGCATATATTTTGTGTAAATTAAAGAGCTTCTGTGGCTTCTTCCCTGTTACCAAAATATGAAGAATATATTAAGAAGCAAATACCTATGTTCGCGTATTACTGTCTTAATATGTCAGCATCTAGTTTGATCACTAGAAACAAAACTATTTTATATGCATCCTACTGACTCAATGCTTGTTGGATCAAAACAAAATTACGCTAGCAATATTCAAAGAAATTTGACACATGCTCCAAAGGATATGATAATGTAACAAATTATATTATTGAGATATGCCATTCTGAAAATTCTTCACAGAGTGAAGAAATCTTCCGGTAGTTAAAACTACATTGGAACCTTTACATGGCATAGACAAACATATAAATGTTAGTTTCAATGGAAACGCTAAACAAATTGCAATTCATATTTTGAACGGTTTTATGTGTTCTTAGTCTCCTTACATGAATTAAATTGAATTTCTGTAAACGTATTACATTTGGCTGTATTTTTAGCGCTTTGGGCGGAAAGAAACATCCGCTAATTCAAGTACAATGCAAAGTGTCTTGTACATATATACATAAGTAAGAACATTAAGAAATCGCTAAATCAAATCCACGCTAACTTGTTCAAAAATCAATTTCCGCTAAATATCGTACACGCTAAATATAATACATTTACAGTACAGTACAGGGGATTAATTTCACGGGTTGTAATTTTCACGTTTTTCTCTACTCAGGCATGATCGCGGTTTGTTGAATTCGCGGAATTGGTACATGTATATAATAAAAGTTACCTCGCTTGTCCATATCCGTTTAATCCATAGCATAGCTGGGACAACATTAGTCAGCGTTATGTATTCACTTGACGAACAACAGGTTAGGACTATATAAAATAGCTAGATTAAATAATTAATTGACGATTAGTTAAAACAAGTGCAGTTATCTAAAGTCCTTAAAATTGACTATAAACGTCGAATGACTTTCTATGCTATTACGATGAGTGCATGTGCACCCCAAGATCTTCTTTCCGAAGTGATAATAAATCGCGGCGAAAATCACTGGACGGCAAGAAATGTGTTAATGTAGGTAGACGAAATAATATCCTTCCACATCTTCAGCAAGTTCGATAGTTATTTGAATGATTTTTAAAAACCAAAATGTCGATAAAATCTAAAACGCATGGTCGTGCAGTTAACAAATACACGTGGTAACATAGTTTTGCACGGGTAATCAAAACCCATGCCCCACATGTTTTGATTGATGAAACATGTACATTGGGTACTAGAACAGCTTTTTAACAAATACGGGTTATTATCTGCTGATTTAAATTAAAGAAAAGCGTGATAATTAAAATAATTGAATGATAAGTACGACTCGTAATTACTGAAATGACAATGTACTGCACGTATATATACCTATCGTAGTCTATTCTCAAATTTCCAACTATAACATTGAGGTTATTCAAAACTTATTCACTGTTTCTTGAATTCACGGATTTATTAACACCGTGAATATAGCGAATATTAACACCGAGAGTTATTTTCCCCCTATACAGTAATTTATGTAGCCCAATCATTGTCGAGAGAAAAAGGGAAGTTTGCAAACAAGACAATTAAATCACAGATAAAAAAATTAATAAAATGAAAACTTATCTAGATCTTTGATGACTCAAGAAAGTACTTTATGTGTTGATGTATTTTTTAATTAAGTTTTTTTTCTGTATGACAATTTATTTCCATAAGAAAATTTATTGTTTAACTTAAAACATCGTATTCTCAGGAAAAGATAACTTTTATGAAATGAGTATTCTTCATGTTCCTTGACGTTGTGTTTAGGGTTGGAAGATTTTCAGGCAAACGCCGACTGGGGTCGGGAAAAAATCGACTTGAATGTTTGTTGTTTCCGGCGAAGCTCTTCTTTCAGCGCATCATATTCCTCCGCGGTGTACTGTCTCGCTGTAGCAGCCTGAAAAACATTTTATTTTTATTTTTTAAATAAATATGTCGAGTTGTCTCATTGTTAAAGCAAACATAAATTATCTTTCAGACATTCTACATGTTTCTTATATTTATGATCACTTTAATCAACTTCTCCTAATATCTGGTCTAGCTTTTCTCGATAGCAAATGACAAAATTGTTTTACCCTCTTCCGGCGTACAATGGGATGCTGACCGAAGGAGACGTTACACGGCCGATGTCGACTTTTCTTTCCGTTTGTTTGGATTCTGACCGACGACGCTGTCAAAGAATCAAGTAATATTACTCACATTTGTTGATTTTAATAAACAATGCCATGACTATTATAAGGCCAAATAAAAAAAAGCGTGTTTCCGGTAACATGCCAAAAAAAGTTAGGGTGGTACATGTACATGTAGGTAGGTGAAAACTTTTTTCTTTACTTTTTATTTTGAAAGCGTCAGTTAATTATTCAAAACTGGTTTTTTTGTTGTTGATTTTTTGTGATATTTACTTATACATATTTGAATAAACATACACAGCAAAACAAGTGCACTTTTTAAAAACACCTGGATAGACACATTTTAACAGTGTCTGAGAAATGCATTTCATTAAGTGCACTATGAGAAAACTGTTTCAGTGAAGAAAAAAAGTACGTTTCAAGATCCGGATTTGGAATAAAAAGTAGTAGGGTCGGTCGGGTTACCGGAAACATATTTTTTTAGCCTAAACAAAAAATACTTACTAAATTAATTTCTGGGATACATGAATTCTATATCTGAGTAATAAAAAATCGTATTGGTTTGTATTTTAACCTAATTTTATGAGAATATAAAAAATATACATGAATACATCGAATTTATTTTTTAAAATAAATAGATCCTATTAGTTGATGACATTTTCAATATACATATAAATTAAATACAAGTAAAATGTCATCAAAAAAAATCTACATAGCAAAAAGGCGTGATGATATTGCGGTGTGAGGGAAGAAGCGGTGTCTACAGGAGGGATAACTTTTAATGAAAAACGATATCTTTATCTGTGTAATATAACCGTCTTCTCTTTCTAAAAATGAACCATTTCGCAATATCAATGACTAAAAAGCAGAACTAAAAACTAGCGAGAGTTATCGAACCTGTCTGAGGGGCGCTGCGATCTAGGGACTCTCCATCTCTGTAACTGCTGTTATCGAAATAGTAAGGAATCTCTTTTAACTTTAAGAATTTGAAAAATGTGCCACAAACAAATTGTGGACGTAAGAAAACAGAGGCTTTCAATTTGCTATTTTCCATACCTCAGTGAGCTAGGGTTATTGTCCTCCAAATTCTTCTTTATAGTCTCGATGATATCAATGTCTTTCCTCCGTATCGGTTTTATGAACACCTTTTTGCCAGGAATTGGAGCTAAGGGACCCTTTAGGAATAAAGAGTATAAATTAGGAATCAGTTATAGAGATTTTGCTGAGAGAGAGAGAGAGAGAGTTTGGTGATGATTTTTTTTTCAAATTTATAGACACAAAATCTACTTCTAGATTTTTGTTTCACTTTCGGTAGGTATCATCAATATATATCTTGCAGAAATCATTATCACCCTACCTCATGTATATATCGAGGTAGTTTTACAGGTTTCGTGTTCTTTTTCCTCTGAGTTACGGAAGACATTTTATTATTCCAAGCTTCGAGTCTTTGCTCAAGTCGTAGAAGGTTATCGTCGTTGATTTCTGGGTCAATGAACGTAAAGTCATGACTAGGCGACATATCGCCATGGCGACTTTGTGAACTTTCACAGACAAGTCGACTGTGGGAGGACTCTCTACCGCTGTCATCACAGGAAGCCTCCTCCTCACTCTGACCTCTATCAGGTGTTCTACTTGAGCCGACCCCACTATCCAATGTAGAAGCTCGTCCTAACTGTGACACAAAAGTACCTTCATTTGACGTCTGATACGTAATTGTTTCTACCGTGGGAGCAATTTGTGGCGGGTTTCTTGGACGTGTTTGTTGCATTCTTTTTTTCGCGCCCTGGTAGCGCTCTTTTTCCAATTGGCGTTGCTTTTCCTTCATTCGAATCAGGAAAAACACACTTCCGGGTCCAAACATGTCAATTAATGGTCCCTTTTTTAGGTTGGATACACTCCAGTCTTGTGTCGGTTCTTTGTTGATTGTTTTCTGTGGACGACTCCTTTTTGACCGCTCCTCCTCCCGAAGCATGTACAGGAAGTATCGTATAAGCGGAAGTTCCTTGTTTGGAAGCCATGATAACCTCAGTTTGTATTTTTCTCTAACTGACTCTTTGAGAATGTCAATTACTTTAGGATTGCGTTTTTCAATCAGTCTGTCGTAGTTTTTCTGGTCGAGGATGAACATTTCTGCCTCCTGGGAACATTTCACTGTGTAGCAGTATGTGGGCAGATCGATCACCGCCTCTAGATCACCTGTCACAAGGAAATCGGTATCTTTTATATTATCAGTAACATCAGTTATTTTATCAGTAACATCATTGATACATTAGTATCATTATCATCTGTAACATCATCATTTAATACATCAGTATTATCGTCAGTAACATTACTTAATACATTACTAGTATCATCAGAATTATCGTCAGTAACATCATTTAATTCATTAGTAATATCAGTATTATCGTCAGTAACATCATTTAATTAATATATTAGTAACATCAGTAATATCGTCAGTAACATCATTTGATACATTAGTAACATCAGTATTATCGTCAGTAACATTATTTAATACATTAGTATCATCAATATTATCGTCAGTAACATCAGTATTTCTATTAGTATCACTATCCGTAACATTATCCTTTTATATTTTGGATAGATACAAAATTTCAAAAAAATTGATCTGTTTTTTTTTAATTGAACGTTAGTTGTACTCTGTAAATTGCGAACTGAGAGCTCAAAAGTCCATGAACTTTTATGATTGAAGTAAATTCAAAATTTTCATATTTCCTGTAAGTTGCTCTTTAGGGTATTCAGTTATTTAAATCTCACTTTGAAGTTACATTGTAATAAACTGAAATTCTGAACCTTGCTCCTGTGTTAAATGACTTTCGAATGAAATGGAAAGACCAAGATTTATTTCATTTAGAAAACATCACACCTGCACAGTTTTCATTTGATAAGATCAAAATTATTAAATCATAACACATAATTAACAGTCATGAGATGTGGTACAATCAGTTATAATACAAACATTCTTTTTTCTGTGATTAATGAAATCATGAAAAAACACACAAAAATATCATATTAAAAAGTATATTATGCAATTTTGATTTTGAAAAAAAAAAAAACAAAAACAAAAACAAACAAACACAGTTCATATTACGTAGACGCACCTATGATTTCGAAGGCCCCCAGATTACAGACCTCAATGGTGTGTCTGGGGACCTGTGAGGTCCTAGTTTTACACCTGCTCTCAGAGGTGGACATTGAGGACATGGATGAGGGTGAGTACTTTTTGTTGTCCTCCTGTTTGGATGGAGATATGCTCAGCTCTCTGTAACAGAAAAAATCTGCATAGTGTCCAAAAATAGAATACATGTATGCGAAACTTCAGTTTTGATGAAATGATCTGTATTACTTGTATCAATCACTGTTGTACATTCGTTTATTTACTTCGTTAAACATTTTTTCCCCATATCACTTATTTCTTTGTTTCGTTCAACGTTTCATCAATTCGGTGAAATTGCATCTTCGCTAGCCAAGGGTTTCTGATTCGCTACTCTCCTCATAAACCCTTGGCATACGGTGCTGACAAAAGAACGGGATTGTTTTCGTCACGTGATCACGATTCTTATCAGGTACGCACAGATTGCGTCATCGACAGAAATAAAAAAGCGTATTTAAAAAAAATAATGTTTTTTAAAGAATAATTAACAAGAAGGTATTGAGTTATGTTAATCTGTTATTCAAACATATTAAAATGCAAATCTACATCTTCAGTATTGATTCTTAATCACATATTTTGTACGTAGCTTAAGATATTGAATGACACCATATAGCTATTAATAGAATGGCATGTTACCTTACGGATCATTGTTTACTTGCTTTTTTCATTCCCGATATTAAAGAGTCAAGATATATCCCGAACGCAAATATCGTCATTTACAAAAAAAAAAAAAAAAAAAACAATTGCTGATTGGTCGAACGATGTCGATCAACTCCAACACATCTTGAGAAAAAAAATCCCAACTTTTTTTAACACCGTATGCCAAGGGCTTATGAGGAGAGTAGCGTATCAGAAACCCTTGGCTAGCGAAGATGGTGAAATTGATTTCATCAACATCCATGCATGACATTTTCATATCTGTGCAACACCTATTTTTTGTCCTGAGGCTACACTTTTGTCGTGCCTACCTGCGTAGTAATTCTCTCGCCTGAGTTCGCTCCAAGTCCTCGGGATCCGCTATTGGGAAATAGTTCGGATATTGCATGGTGTGATACACAGGATCCATCAGCAGTTTTACCTGACCACTGTGTACGAATTTAAAAATAAACAAAGACGAAATTGTTAAAAAATATGTTTTATACAATTATAAATTCGTTTTGCATCTTTTACATTTAGCCCTACAAGACCTAAAAAACTTGAAATTCCAATGTATACAAGAGCATTTGGTAGGTCGCGAATTGGATTAAAAGTTTACATAAATGTAATGAATTTATTCTGTTCAGCAAAATTCTTGATGGTCTCGAATTAATTTTATGATTTTACACTTGTTTAAATGCACCAGATTTAAATAAGTCATTAAGAAATTTAAAAATTGAACAAATTAAAAAGTCGGCCAGACATATGCTTTTATCGCACCGAGCACCAATCCAATAACATCTTAATGATCGGCCGGGAATTGGATTATTTCTTTGGTTAAATGATCTGTAAGAAATGGGATTATTTCATTGGTGCATTAAGCCGGCTTTCCTTTTTACCGCTCCCGATCATTCACATTGAATTTTCTCAATAGCCTCCCACCACCATATAATCATGTTGGCGACAGTAAGATTAGCAACACCGTTTTCCATTACAGTTAGAACGAGACCTGAAAACCATCTAACATTTTGCCCTTACAAATGTAATTAAGATTAAAGAAATGACTTGCAGTTTCATTTCCAAAAAAATGTGTGTTATTGATATATCAGGTTCAGACTAGATGAGAAATTCAAACCTGAACTCTTGTTTATTAAGTTTCAATATACATTCTTCCAAAAAGTCACAGTGAATTTTATCCAATAAAACAGACTAAAGACGTCTTTGTCACTGCTACATGTGTAAGAATCTTAACCATTCTGAATTAAAGAGAAAAAAGAAATCAGCATGGAGATACAACTTTTCTCACACCTAGTTTAGTAGGTGGATGACAGAATCCATATTTTGGTACCTCACCTTAACAAAAACATAATGCCATCAACAGGTGCCCCCTGGCGGACAATAGTGGAGTCAAACAGGACTTTCTCCCGCCTCAGACTCATAGCCATCTGCTTTTTGTACTTGGGCAGCCAGTTATCGAACATAGCATGACTGTCTACAAACCGCTTCCGGTCTTCAAAATCCTTGGCCTGAAAGTCATGGAGTGATCTCTTGTACAAATCCCTGTTGACAATAACTAGATCGGTTTTCTCGTCGGCAATGATTGTAGCATTCCGTATACAATCAGCATTTATCAGAGCGAGTTCTCCGAAACTCCGTCCTGCATCTGTGACCAAGAAGAAGTTATTATTCTTTGCAGTCAGTGTGTTTATTAAAGTGGGTTTTACAATGAACTCTTAAGTTTGTTGTTGTTGTTGTTGTATTTTTTTTAATTGTTTTTTTTTTTTTTTTTGTAAAGTTGTCTACGTTACTCACTGATTTTCTGAGCAATAGAAATGTTTGTAAGTCAAGGAAGTAAGTGTCGGCCACTTTGCCGATTAACAAATGTTGTTTGACACTGCTGATGAATTCCATGGACCAGATAAATACTGTGTTAATGTTCCACATAATCCGAGGTCTGTGACCTTATTACATGTCTGTGACCTTATTACATGTCTGTGACCTTATTACATGTATACTTTGGTGTCTCATACAAAGAGGGGGTCTGTTTGATGATGGTTAAATTAAAGATGGCAATTATTAGACTAAAGTATCGAGAGGGAGAAAAAAATTCTTTCATCGCAGAGATGAAATTGTGTTCGATTTTTCAGAGGACAGATCCATCACGCGACTCAATAGATTTGTTGTAATTGTTCCACTGAGATAAAAACATTGTATTTTTTTAATCAATTGTATTCTGTGGGAAAATTCATCAATTTAATTAAAACAAGATGATAAAAACTTAACTTTTCCCATCTATATTTATATTGATTGTTTTGCTTTTAGCTTTTAGGAATTTTAGAAGAGTAGGTTTATATTAAGTTATGGATTTGTTTTTAATTTTCAATGTACAATGGAGTTTTAATTTATTTTTGCAAAAGAGCAACACGATTAACCCTTAAAAAAATGAATTTTTGAGAACTTACCAATTTTGCCAACATAATTCCCGTAAATAGACCTGTCAAGTGGTTTGTTTCGTATTCCGCTTTTGGTTCTCACCACTTCCACTTCCGGTGACGTGCTATTATTTCCTGCATCATCATCAGCACCAAAGTTTGTGTTGATATAAATAGACACGGTCCCACTTAAGATAATAAAGAAACTGAAAGAAAAAAAATATGGTGGTACACAAATTACCGTATTTGGTCAACTTTGATCATTTTTGCAGCATTCTTATAATTTGTGAGGAAAGCGCCGAACTTTACGAAAAAGCATTTGTAAGTGTATGTATAGCAACGGTTAAAAAAGGTTATATTTTGCATTCTTTATTATATTTTAATGTGTTTTATGTAGGTTTAGTAATTCATCGCGATGCTATGTGGAACAATTGTCCAATGTTAAAGATGTGAAACCATCAGTTGTTCAAGAGGTGAGCATTCCATTCTTCTTTTAAAAAAAAACATGTTCAGTCAAAATATTCAAAAATGATATCGGGAGGACCGTGAATACTCTGTTTTCTTCTTTGCGTCATATCAATAGCAAAACTTTAACTGACAATCTGAGGAAAAAAATCATACGATGGGAAATATCCCTATTTTCTATAAGAATTTCTTATAAATTGTTGTTTCAATGAAATGAGAAATTCAGAATTTTTTATACTTCTGAAAAGAAAAAAATATTTTAGACAACAGCAATATCGTTATCGTTCGCGAAAGAGCTAAGTAGAAACACTGAGACTAGGAAAATTTAAAATCTTTACCCTGAACATAAAATGTTTTATTGTGCTCATACCATTCGCCTTTATCCCCTTGCTTAATGATGACGTCATCTTTTTCGTCTGTCTCAAATTCACAGTTCTTCACTATGTCAGCAATAATCTCTAAATGAAAAAACATCGTAGTCCCTTTTATCCGATTTTATAAAAATAGATATCCTTCGACATATATCAAGGTTCAAGTATTTTCCTAAAATTCTAAAAACGAAAAATAAAAATTAAGCTACATTTGACCTTTGAGATATCGTATTGATTCAAAATTCTTTTAATAAACCTAAATGTCATAAGCAACAATATTTGGGTTCAAATTCATTCCAGTTTTATTATAAATATGCTACCCCGGTGGTGGTATTTTTGGCTCCGTGGCCTTGACCTTAGAGACATGACCTTGAGACAAGATAGTGATAGACAGTATACATCGATGGTTCTGGTGGTAACAATATACTGAAAGCTTATCTCAATTTCAGTGGAAGGTTCTAAAATTACGAACCTTGACGTTTTTAATTTTACCACTTCTTCTCCAGTTTTTATGCAACATTGCACCATAGATATAAGTTTTACTTGTAATTCCGATGGATGTTATATATATTTGACTTACAGATTAACAACAAAACAATGTGTCGACCATGCCGAGGAGAAAAGAAAATTTGTTTGGAAAAAAAAACTATCAATAGCTAGCAATGTTATAAAGTTACATTGCAGAATTGGGGAAAACGTGGCTTTAAAGACGTCATTTGAATATTTAAAATGAAATTATTTGGGAGAATACATTATGTCCTTTTTTTAACTTGTTTCTGTCATGTAAAAAAGAAAGTACACTTTATTTACATTCCGTAAGGTAACCGTGGGCCATTTAACGTACCATTCTGTAAGGAGCTATTCTATGGATTTTATGAATGGATGGAGGTTTGAGAAATTAAAAAACTGAAGGCTAACGCGTTATTTTCATAAATATCTTTCTGTCGATATCTCGTATTGTAGCAAGTAAAATTCCTACGCATCAAAAGATATTCCGAAAAGAACAGAGACACATCTTACAGAGTCGGTGCTTTTAATGTGACTTACTCAATTGAATTAAAAACTGTGGAACCTAGCAAGGATTTTACACGCCTAATGCCCATTATAGAATAATTTAAGGAAAGGAGTCGATTAAATGGAACGCAGAGAACGATCTGAAACAATTTGCTAATCTTGCTAGGAGAAGGGGCCAATATATTCTGTTGTGAATATTTTATCCTGTCGGAACATTCGTTTTTATGCGTGTTTAATATTGCCCTTGTCACCTTCTCTTCTTGTCAATCCAAACTGGTCGATAATGGTCGGTAGTTTATGGGATTGTGTGCAAATATCACTGAAATATGATGTCCACCTATTTTCTCATATTTAGTCATATCAGAAGTAAAAGAATTACGAAAAGGGGGTTTAAAATGATATTAACGTGTTGTCACTAGATAATTAACCTGAGGGAAAATCAATAATGGTTAAGGCCTTTCCATCATTAAACGACAATAACTGTTAATCTAGGCGACGTGAAAACCCCATAATCTCCGCTTCTAAATCATAATGACTGTTCTGGTGGTATACGTTTTTAATTTCAATTATTTGTTTGAATACACTAATTCAATTAATATGTTGTTCAAAAACATGCGTCGACTTTATTTGTATTTTTCTCCAAACTGCGCTACCCTGTCCTTGAGAAGCATTAAGTTTTCGACTTGAATATTAAACACACCTGGGGGGAATATCGCTACTCAAATGTTTAAAGAAGATAGCGAATAATTTTTTTTTTCATGAATTATTTATTAATTTCTTTCCCAGTTGTTTTGTCGCTATTTTTTCATGGAAACGCAATTCAAACTTGATGGCATCATAATATATAGTTATACTATGGAATTTTTTTTTTCATTTATGAACAGAAGTGTTTGAAATGTATGCTGTGCAGTTTGAACCAATTTTGGTGTGCCTTTTATCTTAGTGAGTCAAGAAATTGACCATCTTAATATTTAAACTTTTGATAAGATAGAACTAAGATTGGACCAAACATGGCCGTACAACGACATGTCAGATTTAATTAGACAAATTATCCACACAGATACACGTTCTCAAACAGATAATGGCCAATCATAACGGTGTCTTCAATAGCATGGCTGACACACAGGATCAGCTTATAAACCTTTAACGATAACTAAAATGTGCAAGAAGTAACTTTCTGATAATTTCATTTTTCACCATAAATTTTTCAGCAGTTGTAAATTTAGACAACACCACCAAGTTTTACTAATAAAGAGGTACACGTTTGTTTAGAAATGACACTTTACCCCTGAAAGTTGAAAGTTCCATTCAAAATGGAGAGCGTTCACTAGAATTATTATATTAAAAATACGAAGGACAGAGTCAATTAGAACATTTATAAAATTCTACTTGGCTTAGCTGCTACTTTTTTTTTATTCTTAGATAAATAAATACCTACCATCTTTGAGTTGTTTGAATAATTCCGACTTTTTCTTGAACCAAGACAGGATTTGACTGATCTCTAGTTCCGTGCGTCTGTGGGGCGGCTTACTTATAATGCTGATTACACGTTCGTACACGTGGGCCGAAATGTCATTAGATCCCATTCTTTCTTTTGTTTCACTTCCCTGTCAAAGATTCTTCTCCATCATCGTGGCACGAAACTCTGAATTCTGAAAGTTTGAAATCACGTGGTTAAGACCATCCGGTGCAACATCCAAGTTCTTACCAATGTCAGAAAAAAAAGAAGGAAAAAAGTTTAATGGAAAATCATTAAAGTGTCATCTATATATATACATCCGCATCAATAAATCTGAAGAGCCGAAGGCATTGGGATAATGCAGGGAAGCTCTGTTCGTGAAATGAACCAATTGACGGGCAGATTTGTGTGTGACAATTCTCTGCTATTGGCATACCCAGTAATTACGTGTTATTTTCTGATTTCAAAATAGTCTCGAGAGAAGTGGTTCTTGTTCACGACAGGATGCCAGAGCCTGGTCCGTCAAAGCATCTTAATAGGAGATCGATCCCGACTTGTTAACCTTCTCTATGACAGAAGTACAGAATAATCACACTTAGTTTGATTACGTTTCAGAATAGCGACCAGTTCCTCCTTCTCCTAAGTCACTGTTCTCTTTACTGCCCTTTTCACAAAAACTCAAATGGAAGAAATAAGGAACCACCATAATCGAGATAAATTAATAAAGGCTAAATTGAAGTGGCCACAAACAGAGACTTTCAGTAAATTAATAAACACATATAACTTCACAGTTTGATTTTTACCCGATTGAACTTAACTACCATAAAAACTCGGAGTTCTATTAACATTTTCGCAATGGAGGCAAACTGTATAACATTTAAACACCAGACAACAAAAAGCTTTTTCATATCACTCAAAATTAATCACAAACATAACATTTAAAACAAGGGCACCTTATCAATTCATGTGAGAACTAATTTTTATAGGGAAGACAGAAAAAATAAGTTCTTGAGTTGGTGCCATAAGAAACCGAAAACATCACTTAAAAGTAAATCGAAGAAAACAAAACAATAAACCAGTGGAATTCTTTGTTTCAATGTAGTATGTTACTCCTTCTGCAGAGGCACATCCAAAATCGTACTAATGATTCATGATGTAACTGGAAGATGATTAATGGTGTACAGCTGCAAGCTCAAAGATTTAAGACCCCTCTTTACACTAATGAAATTTTTTTTTTGGACTTTGAGAAAATTAAATGGTATAAAGGAATAAATATTGAGCTAATTTTCAACATACGATGCTTGTCATTCTCCCCCAGGAAAAATGAGTAATGGTAAACAGAAATCACTGTAGCCTACTTAAATGGGAGAAACGCATGCAAATTTCTTCATCTTTGTCTAAAATAATGCCTGTTAAGAATACGTGAATTGATTTCAGACTGCGTACTGCGCTGTAGATTTTAGTTTATTTAATTTTGAATAAAAGAGCAGATCACTTTAACAAAGACAAAAGTACCTAGGAATTGGAACTCTTCAGTTTGCAGAGTGTAGAAGATCATAAAAATGCACTCTCCCTAAAGGGAAAATCTTAAATATGTGATATAACTCAAAAAATACACTTTTGATTAAATACATATACACATAAATTCTCATTCAAATTAAAAAAATATTCAAATTGCTCAATTTAGTCAATCAAAAAAAAAAAAAAAAAAAAAAAAAAGAAAATACACGAAGTTTGGACTTACAAATATATGGAAAATATTTTAAAGTCCTTCACTAGGGTTTATAATGTAAGGAATCCGTAGTGGAAAAACGAAGACACTGTGTGAATGGTGCACACGATGTGAAGTTATACCGAAGTCAACCTAGTCATAGAGTTCCTCGAGAGTATTGACACGAACTGAACGTTCATTGCGTTCATGCCGATTAATTAATCTAGCATTAATCTGTTATAATCAATAATCTCGACAAAAACAACAAGATCAAATATTTCAAGGTGAAATTCGATCTCTCCGATAATCCCCACCTTATTGGTTCAGTTACACTAACAGCGGCCTGAGTTTAGCCGTCATCTACAGAAATATCAGAAATGATTTGAGAAATTGTTTTTATGTATCATATAACTAAGCAACACATAACATGTACTGTAACCAAAAAGGTCGGCATAATATGCACTTAAATTAATACAGCAGACCCTAGAAAATCTGTACCACAGTCTGATACATCTGTTTCATATTTGGATATTTTACAACAAAAAAGACGTTAATGGTAACCTAACAAACAAACTTTATGATAAACGTGATGACCTCAACTTTTCTATCGTCAACTTCCCTTATTTATGTAGAAATGTACCCTTATCACCTGCATATGGATTTTATATCTCCCATTTGATTCGAACAAGAGCATGCTCTACGTACGAAGAATTTCTAAAACTAAGCAAGCTATTGACAAACAAGTTGATGAAACAAGGATAGCAACAGTCTCGTTTGAAGTCAACATTTCGCAAGTTCTATGGTCGACACAATGACCTTGTCAGCAAATACAATCTATCATTAATTCGAATGCTGACGGACGTTTTTAATACTATTTTTTAGGCCATTTTTTACCAATTGAATTATCTACGGATTTTTCCGAGTGTCCTATCATGACAAGGAGCTCACGGTGGGTGTGACCTGTCGGCAGGGAATGCTTACTCCTCCATGGCACCTGATCCCTCCTCTGATTCTTGTAGAGGTCTGTGTTTGCTCTGCTCCCGATTTGTTTTGTTTGAGCTTGACTGCTGTTCGTTATTTCCATATTTCATTGTGAACTAACACGTTTTCTTTGACTTAGACAAAACGTTTTTTTTTAATTTAAATTCAAATCAAAGCATTTTGTAAAAGTGAAACTCAACATATCTTTCAAAGTCAGGTCACCTAGAATGGTGGAGATGGTGGTGGAGGGGGATATTTTGTAACTAATTTTTACTCGTTTTCAAGAGCCGAAGTGCAATATATTTAAGTATTTGTGTTCAAGAGTATTAACCTTGTAAAAGCCTTTCTAATCCTCCTTGGTGAACTATTTTCGTCTCTACATTTTCTATTTTACGTGCACGACCATATTTATATCGCATTGCCATAGAACACATGCAGTAATTAAAGTCTTCGAACAATTGAACGAGAAAAGCTATTGACCCAGTTATCGAACTATTACATAGATATCTTTTATGTAAAACTTCTTATATTTTTAAGTCTTTATGTCTTCGTCATCAGTCCATAATCGTCATTATATGAAAGATAACGGTGGATCAAAGATTTAAAAGTGTGTTTATGACCACTGAGGAGAGGAGGGGGTAGGGTCGGGGTTTTAGTAGGTTTAGTATACTAGTATGTGCTGAGGTGGGGAGGGGGTAGGGTCGGGGTGGTAGTAGGTTTAGTATATATGTACTGAGTGTTGAGAAGATTCTCGCTCACTCACCGAAATGACTTCATTACGTCATATTCCAAATTCCACAATTATATGTTAGTGTAAATAATATTCCGCACATCTTTTAAATATTATCCTTACTTGTTATCTCATTAAAAAAAAATAAACATATTGGCGAGGAAACGAAATTTCATGTCTTGACCATTGTGGGGAACGATAAAATGTACTTATAAAAATGAATATTTTCAACTTTAGTTTTATCGATCACTATTTCCACTGTTTTTGTTAGGAGTAGGAATTCGTTAAAGTGATCTATCAATACGATAAAATCTGATTAAAAATTCGACTAATGAAAACAAATCAGTGAACTTCAAAGAAAATTCTTTACAATTCATTTACAAGATTATATGCTAATGCGACAAGAATACGTGCAATTGATAAAGAGTATATTTTTTTTAATTTAAAACCTGATTACGATGGGGTGAGACCGAAAGAGTTCCCTAATCGACTTAACTGTTTGCTGGTTCCTTAACCGGGTATTTTTAAGTCAACGATCCTCGAAATGTTGTGTGGTCATTATTTTATCGGATTCTTGTTTTTGATTTGTTCGTTTATAAACTCAAATTAATATTCTAAATAATGTAATCGCGGACTTTGAATACTTTAGGCTAAAATTAAACGAATTGAAGATCGACTTAATGGTGATTTAATTGTTACATATGACAGTGAATGTGATAAATATTGCTTATACTTGATTATGAAACCTACTTACACTATTGTGGGGTTTTAGTCAAATCAATTTAAGACTAATGGCAGTTATAATTTGTTGTTACGTATAAATCCAAACAATTTTTGTTATCATTTTTAATGCAACTTGATATGACTTTTTTTCCAAATGTATAATAAAAAGCTCTCTCTCTCTCTCTCTCTCTCTCTCTCTCTCATCAAATATGAAGATACATGGAGTATTTGGTAATTAAAAGAATGATTGCACAAGGTTGTTCTTTGCTGTCTTTAGTTGTTCACTGCACTATAATTGTTTTCTGAATAAACAAGTAAATAAATAAATAAAAAAATAAATACATAAACCACACTTTATATAACACTTCAAGAACAATCGGTAGAATAAATTATTTCGTTTATAAGAATTAATTCTAAATCTCTTTGAACTGAGAGAGTACGGAAGTCTGTATTAGTGTGTACTTCCACGCCTGAGATATTAATACTAGAATATTCAGAATGATCTTACGGCATCACAATTTTATTTCAAGAGGGAAAAGTGCTCAGTATTTTGTACATCTCCTTTTTCACAATTTCTACCCTGCAATATCACTGCTATTGCGCATAACCTACAGAAAGCGTTTTAAGGCATGGTCGAATGGGGGGGGGGGGTCATCAGATGACATATATCTTTCTATTCCATTTCTGAAAATGTTTTGCAAATAGCTAAATAAAATCAACTTACCTCGTGAGCACATCCGTTGACCCTCCCTTATTTTTTTTTTTTACATCCCCTATAAATTAAATATCGCTGATAAGGTTTTAATATTTAAGGTGCAAAAGTAAACTACAGATTTCTACAGTTCTCTTTGCAGACCTCACAATGAAGATGAAAAGCTCCTTGGTATTAAAGCAGTTTTTAAAGGGTTCACGAGCACACTGTTTACGTGATCAAAATAATCTTAACGGTGAAAAAAGCAGTCATTGGGAAGTATAGCATTTCATTGAAATTATGATATATTGAATTCAATTTCTATCGATCCGAAAATGATATACATTTCTTTGTAATGAATGAGATAAAATCACAAAGCGATGTCGTATAGAGCACAACAAAATGGAATCAACGAGAATAGAACCTTCAGTTAGCGCACGGTACATCACAATCAGATTTATTTAACAATGCAAAATAAAATCATACACGTTTTGTGGTAATTACAAAGAGTACTGCAAAAGTGCAAGGTTTTGTACAGTTATTAGAAATCTGATCATGTTTTCACCACTTTTATCAACAAAAAATCCTCCTTTTTCCCCATTTTAATTAAGGGTTAATTTTTTTTCAATCAACATTTTTATCATCTGATAAAAAAATATTTTGGACGCTAAGATATATGCATCTCCATCAATGACAATTGAATCCAAAACGCACAATACATTTATTTTTTTAAAAGTGCATGAAACCGCTTATTTACATTCGTGAACTTGCGATTATTGTTCAACAGACTCTGAAAAAATGGACTGTGTAACTATAGATTTTTCAAGCATATACATGTACATGTATATGGCGTTTCAACATGTCAAAATATGTTGAATTCCGACTGAATTTACTCTTGATATTCTTTTTGTAATATTCTATATTCCAAGGTGCCATAATATAGACAAGATTGGTCCCACAGGATAAAACTATACCTTTCATTTAACTGAAAGATGACTGAAAGCTCATTCAAAGGTTACTGAAAGCTCACTGAAAAGTGAATGAACGCTTGCTGAAAGATGGCTGAAAGCTTACTAGGTGACTGAAAAGTGCCTGAAAGCTCACTGAAAAGTGACTGAAAGCTCACTGTAAAGTGAATGAACGCTTGCTGAAAGATGCCTGAAAGCTTACTAGGTGACTGAAAGGTGCCTGAAATCTTACTGAAAAGTGAATGAAAGCTTACTGAAAAGTGAATGAAAGCTTGCTGAAAGATGTCTGAACGCTTGCTGAGAGATGCCTGAAAGCTTATTAGGTGACTGAAAGGTATGAGACTAGGTCACCTTCTCCAGACCTTTCAGTAAACATTCAGTTGACTGAATGGTGCAATTTTATCCTGTGGGGTAACAGAAGCTGACATAGGGAGAGGGTTAGGGTTAGCTGGAAATGCATTTTCATCCCTGAACCAAAAGTGTTCATCAGTACAGTGCAGCATAATGATGTTTGCGTATTGCTGTACTGTTGTGAGCTCTGAAGAAACACCAAGAAAGAGGATGAATAACTTCATATATTCCATAGTAAATATTTTCGGAAAATCTTAAAAGATACCCCTCTCCCAATCCTAACGGTTCATACGGGTCTCTGTCAGTCAAAAAACGGTATAAAAATATTTTTCACTTCAAATAATTAAAAACGTGTGTATTAATTCAAATCGAGCTCTAGGTTGCACTTTGTTGTTGTACTAGTCTATAAATGCACGTCTCAATGTATACTTATATTCACCTGTTATGAGATAAAATTAATGATGTTTAAAATTCCAATCCTATTATAGGGCGTCCATAGCTTGACACCTAAAAAGAGCGACGGGGAATTCATTTAAAGAGTACCTTGGAAGAAATAGGCTTTTCACTGTATCCCCTATTAAAGCTCTCTGTCAAACATACCGAGTTTCTCAAATTAACGATTTTAAAATAGAGTACATTCAATCTAAATAAATCATTTTAATAACATTTCATTAAGATGCATTTTATACGTTCTTATGGTATAACGGTGACCTCTACTGCAAGGATAGGTTTTCCTCTCTGTGCCACTGCGCACATGTTTTCCAACCCCTGTTCAATAACGAATAATTACATCACACGATCCCAAGTAATAATTATGGATGACATGTTTGATTGTTGAGAAGTTCCGTCGTTCATTGTTAAATAAACACCACTCGATGTATTTGAAACTTCGATCCCTTGAATCCAACGTTAGCAAACGGAAAGTGACGTACCATTCAATTAACAGAACGGAATTAAGCAGCAGCAACAGATCTAGCTATGAGTTGGGGGGGGGGGGGGGTATATATGAAGCCAATTGATTTATATATATATATATATATATATATATATATATATATATATATATATATATATATATATATATATATATATATATATATATATATATATATATATAAAACATCAAATGAAGCTTGTTTAGATACGGTTTTAAACACATGTAATTTTGTAACGATATACACATTGATGACTCATTTTCTAGGATGACAGTTCATTCAATTACATGTAGATAAAGTATACATGTATGTGTAGTCCAGTGACTACTGATGTGCTCTATAAGCCCTCGAGAACAAAACCTGCGTTTCACTTCAATTCATAACTTTTCCTCTTCAGAGAACAAAATATAAATAACTTTCCAGATAGATTTATAAAATTATTAAATTATTTTAAAGGATACAAAATCGCATGATTTACACCAAATAAATCTGAAAGAGGTTTATTTTCTGTATTTATCTGTCTCCAGTTTATATTTCCCAGAAAATATGTCTAGGGTCAAGGAAGGTTATACAAGTAGATAAAAATGGTGAATATTTTACTTGATATTTCCATCAAAATAACACAAGGACGATATACATTGTATATATAGCTAACTTGTAACTCTAAACAAGGTTCTTGAATTCTCTTTCCCTACCAAAAACATAGCCTAACTTATCGAGTTGGAGGATGTGTTCGCTCCTTACATGTGGTACCTTCTCGTTTCTTTTGATTTCAACTCTTCCATCGTCAACTTTCCCTATTTATTTAGTAATATTCCACTCTCAGTCGCATATATGTTATGTCTTCTAGGTTCCGATTACGCAACAGTAACGCACAGTGCATACGCAAGAGCATGCACTTTGTACGATTAATTTTTTTAAATGAGGCAGGCTACTGAAAAATAAACTGATGTTACAAGGTTTTCAACCATCTCGTTAAAAGTCAGTTATCTCAGCATTTCGCAAATCTATGGTTTTTCATGAATGTTTTTCCTTCACTTCATTTATTATCCTTTGGATCATTCCATCCATAAATCCACTATAGTATATAATTCTTCTTTGACTATAAATCTAAATAGTCAATTTCCAAAGAAAATCTTTGTAAAGCACTAGAACACTGTTTTTCTATACCAATGCTAATATTAGTATATTGAATTTGTATTTATACCAGAATAAACACTATAGCCTGCAATATATATCTGCTTAAATTAGTTGGGTAAATACTAAGGTATATTAAAAATTGCAAACAGGAGTAAAATGTCATATAATGAAAAACGTGAAGATAACAAATAATGTTTAAGTGCCTGTTTTAGCAATTTAATAGGTATTTAAGAAAGAAGATGGGTGAACAAGGCGTGCAGAATGCCTATGGCTTCAGATATTAATAAAATCATATTCAATTTGTGAATTAAGTATTTAAAATAAAGTTATTATTGAAATTTATGAAATTATGATTAACAAAACTTTTCTGAGAAAAAAGATCTCGGAAAAATTATTCTTTTATTAAAAAAATAAAATGGTATTCGTGGGATTCGAACCCCTATCAATAAAAATCCGTAGAATCATATCGTTTTGAGACTAACACGCTAACCACTACACCACGCAGCTCCTGACGAATAGTGGCATTTAAATCATGTTTGTGATATGACCCTTGACTTAATGGACTTCAAGTATTTCTCGGAAAGATACGAATGCTTTGTCATAAAAGTGTACTTTTAAGGTATAGTGGGTCTTTGCTCCATGTTTTTGTAAACCAAAAAATGTATATTTTTATGCAAACTTTTAGGATCAACTTTCAAAAAAATGGAGCGAAGACCCACTCATATCGAAAAATTTTGTTTAAGTGTGAGAAAATGATCCTTTTTGTCCTCTTTAGTGTGTGTATGCCATTTCGTAGGCAAATAATTTCAGTCTTTGTGAGATTTTTGTAAATTGTTGAGATTTAGCATAAAATATACTTTAATGTTAGATGAAATATCAAAGAAAATTTTTATATAATTGAGATTTTATTTTTCACTTCATGTTTGTCGCACTATAGGCACTTCGCCCGCCTTGTTCACCCATCTTCTTTTTCCAATTGTTTTTAATTTCAAAAGGTAATATTCCTTGTTTCTAAGCTGGCATTCTTTTAAAGAACTAACTCTATACTTAGTGATGTTTAGAACTTTTGTAGAATATATACCACCAACTATACCTAGTGATGGTAAGATCATATATACATGTAGGATATAGACATGAACTGGAGTACCATCTCTATACTTAGTGATGGTTAGACCTTTTGTAGACCAGACATGGAGTACCAACTTTAGTGATGGTAAGATCTTATGTAGACCAGACATGGAGTACCAGCTTTAGTGATGGTAAGATCTTATGTAGACCAGACATGGAGTACCAACTTTAGTGATGGTAAGATCTTATGTAGACCAGACATGGAGTACCAACTTTAGTGATGGTAAGATCTTATGTAGACCAGACATGGAGTACCAACTTTAGTGATGGTAAGATCTTATGTAGACCAGACATGGAGTACCAACTTTAGTGATGGTAAGATCTTATGTAGACCAGACATGGAGTACCAACTTTAGTGATGGTTAGACCTTTTGTAGATCAGGTACAGAACCATCTCTATACTTAGTGATGTTAAATGTTTTGTAGAGTAGACATGGAGAATTAGCCCTTTACTAACTGATGGGTAAATCTTTTGTAGAACAGACATCCAGAACCAACTCTATACTTAGTGATGGTTAGATGTTTTGTAGCACAGACATGGAAATTTAAAGCATTTAAATTTCAGAATTTTGTTTTTAATATTTATTTTTGTAGTTTGCATAAATAATGAAAATATTCTTAATTCATTCAGCCATACAAAAAAAATTTAAAAATTTTTAATTAATTTTCCTAGTATCAGGACTGACTCCTTGTTGACCTTTTCAGTTCATCTAGTAACATCAATGCAATCATATCACAATGTCTCTGAGTTTTTATTGGGTTGTGGTTTCCCAATTCTATATAAAGACCTTTCACAGTTTTCTTTTTGTCTGAAAAATTAAGAAATAAAAGTAATCAGATATATTATACATTTAGACAGAAAGGAAACATCCAAACAAAATTTTAGCTTGTATGTTTAGTTAGTAATGGAGGAGATGTCAGCAGTGGTTCAACTAATTACATAAAAATACACAATAAAACACAACTGTCTCTCAAGTGAGGTATAGAGTATAACATTCAAGTTAGGTATGCATCACATTATCACTAATACAATCATCATAAATGAAATCAAATCAAACAAAACCCCAAATATTTTAGATATACAAAAACATTCAGCTTTTTCACTTTTTCAAGGGTCGTTGCCTGTCTCTATTAACATCAATTGACCTTTAAAATTCTTAAATTTCAAAATAAAATATTACATGTACTACAAAAGATCAATAAATTTTACTTATCTCTCTGTACATACCTGGGAAGATAAAGTTATCATTGCTGTCTACTTTGGCAAATTCCTTGGGGTGGAGGTTCATTTTCTGAGCGAGTTCCTCTGATATGTCAGCCTCCACTAGTGAGTCCTGCCCCGAGTACACAAACGTTACAGGTACCTGTCTACTGGTCAGGGCAAATACATTGGTCTCCATCTATCAAGGACAATAACTCATCAATTTGGTGAATAGAGGTATAACACTGGTTTTAATATGAACGCAAAAAAGAACAGCTTCTGATGATGTATTGAAGGGGGGTAACTCAGGTCAGTTATCCAAGATTCTCTCTTTAATATTGTAGATGAAGGATGGAGAGATTGAAGCAGCATCTCCCAAAATAACTATTGAATTTAGTGAAGATAATTGATAAGTATAGAAGTCTAAGCTTTTAAGCATGACCATGTGTGCTATAAACATAAAAAAAGTTTAATAACAATTTTGTACAGATATATATATACATGTGCATTTAGTAATATTAATAACTTGTACATTTTTGTTGATCAACTGTGTCCATATTAACTTACATTTTCAAATTGGTAATTGGCTGCCTCAACTGTGGATTTGATGATGTGAAGCAATGGGACATTCTTTGTACCAAGTCTCCGAAGTATGTACTTATCTATCATCACTCGTAATAACAGGAAAAACCGTAACAACTTATTATCATACATACTGGCCATTCTCTGAACACGTTTATATGGAGAGATCCCTCTAAAAGACAAGTTATACTCCACATTGTTTTTCATGTTGACAAATGTATAGTATTTTTGTCAGCAGAATAATTGTTATTTTTATAGTCCATTGTGTTTAATGGTTCTATATGGCACAGATCTTTAATTTTCAAAAAATAGAATCTTAAAATGCTTTTATGAATTAGAAAATTCCCATTTGATATGTGAATTTCAGAGAATGTAGCTCTTTTCTTTTTCCAAGAAAAAGAATTTTTTCAATTCTTGAAAATTTGCTCAAAATAGCCTTTTTATTTAAAGTTATCAATGCTGGCATGCTACAGTGCTAGTTTTATTGATGATTCTGGTTTACCTGAAAACTCTGTGTCCCCCAGGGCACACAAGACCAAGAGATTTGATCCAGGTGTGGGAGGCTGCCAGATCCAGGGCAGGGTAACATCCAGACCCCTGACCTACCAACATATCTACCCTATAAAACAACATGCATTTAATAAAACATAATATTATACAATTATGGACTTCAGTGTAGATCGATTTGGTTATAATTAAGGACCCATGTCAAGTTATATTGACTGAAGACAGAAAGTGACAGCAACCGAGCTTGCAAGGTCTCTATCATTTTCTGTGTCTGAGGTCAATTCACTTGACATGGGTAATTATAACCACATATTGATCGTTTATTGAAGTCCTAATTCAATTCAATTTATTTATTGACAACACCATAGTTATATTATATGCTCACTCAAAGTGAATAATCTGACACAGTCCTAACTGAACAGACTTGGTTGTCATTACGTCACAATGGTAAAAACATGTTTCTTATACCATGATATCACGTTCTACATAACTTTTGTGCAGCTGAAAGGTAGGTCGTGTGATATCATGTTCCAAAGACGCTCTATCGTGTCTTTATCACAGAAGGACGAATATCACTTGACATCCTTTCAGCCAATGAAAATTATGAAAATAATCTTCTTATATAATATTTGTCATTATAGATAACTCTAGCTCTGTATCAACTTCCAATATTACTTGTCAATATTCAGCTCCTGGAGAAATCGAAGCACAAAGTCTGATCGTTCATCAGTGGCTCCCCTAAATATGAACTCATGGGCCCTGACAAAAGGGTTAGTATTTCCATAACCTGCAATGATACAAAAGCTTTATGATTACAACATCAATACACAATAAAATTGTTCGATTTTGTTTTGTTTTTTAAATTCAATTATTAACAGTACATAATTATATTTTTTATAAAAGAGATGGTTATGACTATATGCAGAGAATACTGCAATGTGCTGAGAGCACTGTAAAAATAGAATACAAACACATCCCTTCACATATAGAGAACATATTTTGATCTTTCTAACCTGGAAAATTTACTGCAATGACTCTATACCCAGCTCTTTCTAACGGTTTCATTAGGGGTAACACATCCAAATGTGACCCTGGGGATCCTGGTAAGAAAACCACCGTTTTAATGTCCTTTCCCACTACCCCATCAGGGTGTGAATCTACATAGCAAACATCAAACAAAATTCCATAAGGACACTCCTCATAGAAGTCATACAGGGAGTGCACAGTAATGTATCGTAGAGATATATCGGATGTCTGACTGATTGTTTCATTCTGGTCTGTAGTTAATGATTGTGTCACACTCTGATACAAAGATTTTAAGGACGAAGAATTTCCAGGTGGAGCTTCAATAGCTGCTCCTACACTTTCCTTGGTGTGCGATCTCTGGACCTGTCGGTTATGGTGCAATAAATGCGGACAGAAACAAGTACATCCCAGCCAATTTCGTCTGCCTGTTAACTGCGAGAAGAAACGGGATGACAGAGACGTTCTAGTCAAATGAAAGTTCCAATGCACAGCATGTTGTAAACAACGTAACATATTTCATTTCTAAAACAAGGCTTCAATGTACAAATACGTATACATCCCGACTAATAAGACAACTAACAACTCTGACAAGTTTTGACCTTGCAACCACACTCGGCACACCTCGGCCGATTCGTACCTCATCAAACGTTTGATGAAGGTGACGGAATCAGCCGAGGTTTGCCGAATGCTTGCAACCAATGGGCGCAGCCATATTGTAAAATCTAAATAAAGAACATAGAAAAGGAAACTTAAATCCCGGATACTTTAAAGAACATGCCATGTCACGCATAAGTTAGAAAGTCAAAAGCTATTGTCTGTTTTTAAATTTATCAAGTTAAAACAATAGACAGTGCATTCAACTGAAAAACACAAACCGAAATTACTATACACTCTCTGTTTTTTAACTTGTCGAAATCCGCCATTTTAAAATATGTAAGTATTTTTACTCATTATTCAGTCAATTCCATGTCAATATTTGTTCGACTTCTTCATCAGTAATCAATACCCTTTATAAAATTATTGAAAATCTGAAAAAGAAAAAAAAAATGTTAACAAATTAACTTTGTTCTAGGGCTATATGGTTTAACATTATAATGTATTACACTGTGTAAGGAATTTTATCATAACAGTTGATATAAACTGAGTGAAATGTACAAAAATCTTATTATAAAACTATATTAACGTGCTTTGAATATTCTGAGTTGTTAAAACTGACTGCGTGTGTGACTTACTCAATGACCTATGTTTTCTCATTATGCTTACCAATGCAGAAAATAGAACCTTTAAGTTAGTAATTTTAGGATAAGAAATTTTTCATCATTTGACACATTATATTTTTATACAGGGACCAGCCATCCTCTAAGATGTACCTTCCGGTAATGACGCAGTCCCCACGCGTCTCCAGCAAGGTGTCACTGCGTCCTCAAATCGAACATGTGCGACAGAAATTCCTAGAGTGCGGCATCTGCATGAACGAATACAACGACACAGACCGGAGACCACGTGTTCTGCCTTGTCTGCACTCCTTCTGTGACCAATGCATCAAAATCATGAGGACACGTGACGCCATCAAATGTTCCGAATGTAACGAATCGTACGATATACCAGGGGGCGATATGAACAACTTTCGGGTAGACGAGAGTCGTGAGTACCTCATTAACTACTTGAAGGTGCAGACAAAGACCTCGCATATTTTGTGCGAGGAATGTGCCATGAAGAGGAAGGCTACTAATCGTTGTAAGGAGTGCTCACAGTTCCTATGTGGGGAGTGCACTGACGCCCACAAACGGACAAAAATCACCAAAACGCACAATGTGGCCAGTATTGAGGATCTTAAGGAGGCCACATTAGAGGAATACCAGCACGCGCACACATGCAAGGTCCATGGTCATGAAGACCAACTGTTTGCGTTTTACTGCTATTCAAAGTCCTGTGACAAACCGGTCTGTGCTCTCTGTGCTGTTAAAGAACATCAGGAATCCAAGGGTCATGAGATTCGGAATATAGAAGATGTTTATTTAGAGAACAAGCGAGCTATTGAGGTCCTAGTGTCTGAGGTTAAACACCGCCAACTTTCAGCAGACGACACTCTAACATCCATCGAAGAAATCGTCAAGAAAATGGACACTCTTCAGGCATCCGTAACGGAGGAGATAGATACAGTATTTGACAGATGTCAGAAAATTGTTGACAGACGACGGAATGAGCTGAAAAATAAACTTCACACCATTATTAAAGGTACATAATGACATTTTAGAAGGGCTTGAAATCTTTATTTATTTATTCATTTATTTATTTTGGAACACCCAGTATTATTTCAAACAATTCTGTTCGCTTAATAAATATTTTTTCTCAAACCAAGCCAAAAAAATTCGACTGCAGCGGCAGACGGAGGAACTGAGCAACCATAGAAGCAACATGGACGACGCCAACGAGGTGGCCGGAAGTGTATCTACCTACAGCACGCCATCAGAGTGTTTGAACATGAAAGACGCCATTAAGCGACGATTGAAAGAACTTAAAGAAAAACCATTCGACATCACTCCTCATGACAACGCTGATATCAAGGTAAAGGTCTTTGACGTACTTACAGAAGAATGAGAACAAAAAGGGTCAAGACTCTTTAATTTATCATTCATGTGTTTCATCTTATTGCTTTCATTTTGTCTGGACTTTAGATGATCAGATACAGATATGTTCCTTCCCTGTTTTAAACATGTTTATTGTGCCAGAGTACTATATTTGTCTTTAACATTAAAAAATTGCAACACTATTATTTTCTAATTTTACTTTTAGTTCCAAAAGAGTTGCCTAGGAGACGAGTTTCAGGAATTCCTGAACGGCTGTGGGCTCGTCTGGTCAACATCCGCGTATGTCTCCAACAGTCAGGTTGTAATAAATGACGTTATCATTGACGAAGAGGACGTCGCTATAGTAGTCCGACTTTTTGATGTGGATGGCAACCAGCAAAATGAGGGTAAGACAAACTAGAGTGGGCATCCATCCTCAAAGTTATTTTATGTAAATGACACTGAAACCATTTAGACTTTTGTACATTGCCTTTTTTAAACCCCTTTCACTTTTTTAGGGGAGGTTGAAAAAAGAATGCATGTTCGAGATTAATTCTTAGATTTTTAATTTGTACACGCCAATACAAATAAATACTTAGTTTTAAATTTCATTTTTCAGGGGAGGTTGAAGTAAGAGTGGAGGTTATGGACCCTGAAGGGAACATGACTCAGCCCCTAGTGGAGGACTGCGCTCAGTCGGAGGGATGTTACAGCGTCCCGTTCGTGGGAACCAAGACAGGAAAACATATTTGTCATATCTACGTTATGGGAGAGGAAGTCAACACAGAGGGTTACTCCTTCTATGTCCTGACTGGGAGAGGGGACTCCGGGGCCACATTTAGTAAGCTGCATGGATTTTTTTATGTATTTAAATATGAACAGATTTTGAAGTCTTATGGATCAAGATAAAGTTTTAATCTCAATCAAAATTTTATATTGTAATTTACGTTTATAGCAAATCAATGTTTCTTTTTTTATCCGTTACACAAAATAGTACCTGTAAACGACTTGGGGATATAACAAATCAGTTTAAAATATCACAGGAGATTCGTTATAAACATGTTTTACTGTAACGCAGCTTCTTACTCTTTCACTTTCGTGGATTTGTAGACAAAGACAGGATCAAGAGTGCATCAACGTCCACAACAGGTAATGCAATAATTTTACTTATCAGTTTTTTTATAAAAAAAAAAAAGATTAACTGAATATATAAAAGACAATTGATTTGTTTTATCACATTCTTATCAGATGGAGGGGACCGAACATACACGCCTGGAGTGGATCTTGTTTTGGGTGACGTCATCTGTACGTAATTTCATAATTTTATCATTAATAAATTTGAACATTACAGAAAAAGTAATTTGTATTTTTGAGAATTCAAGAAAATAATCCACGGAATACAGCTGTCCATTTTTAACTGACATGTTGCTTATTTGCTAGGTCCTGAGTTCGTTTTTGACTTATCCATTTCTCATGCCAGCATCGAGATTTCAGAAAATGCCAAACACATGAAAGCGAAACCAATCAAGCGTCCCCATTTTGGAAGCCATCAATCGAAAGAGTCTGGTCGGCTGATCAACTACCGTGGAACGATGGCGAACCTGCCGTTATATAAGACAGGCCTGTTTTACTTTGAGGTGGCGGTCCAGTATAAGGTGCTCCGCCTTATCAGACAAACCATGCTGTTTGAGATCGCACTGGCCAGACTAGATGTCGTTGACAAGCACTACTCTGTTGACTGCTATCCATACGCTTGGGCAGTGAGTGCCAGAGGGTGTCACTTGTGCGGAAAAGTATGTCTGCAAACCTGGCACAACGGCCAACTCCTTGCGCACAATGCTTTGTCTCCACGCACACCAAGTCCTCCAGGGACCAGTGTGCGCCTGCGCTATGGATTTCTGTTGGATACAGTCAAACGTCACTGGATCGTTGTGGATGCTAAATCCAATAAGGTAATATTCCATTTCAAGAACCTTGTGGTTTCCGAGTTGTCTGAACCGCTGTGGCCTCTGTTTGGAATATACAACCCAGACCTTGTCAGCGTCACTTTTCAGCTACTCACCGGAAGTGACATCAATAGTATTCCAGAGGCCGCCACTGACGCCTTGGTCATTTAAACTGTGTGATTAAGATTACCACACTTAATTCACTTCTGTTTGTTTCGTTAGGTGTTTTCTCATTTTCACATACACTGTATATGAAATTAGATGGTAAGTGTTTTATGTAATGGAGAAGAGAAATTGTTGTACATATCTTTGCTTATTGTGTGTCTATGGCAATAAATGCAGGGGAATGGCATTGTATTAGTTTTTGATATCTGAGGACCTGTCCGAAATCATCCCTGTGATTCATCTTATGGCGATCTTCCAACTATATTTTTATGTACGCAATTTCTCGATACAAAAACAGATATAAAAGAATTCTACAAAAACAACATTGTCATATAGCGATTAAGGCAAATTCAAAAAGAGTTTTCACCTGGAGTGGACGGTCAGATGATAATGGACTCCAGTCACTCCGAACTGTCCAAAATTAAATTTCGCGTAGAGCAATTACAAGTATAGGTTTAATGAAACATATGGAGATAACGAACAGTATTCAAGCTCAAAAGTCCATTAAACAATACAAAATAGGAGCAGAGCAAACACGGACCTCTAAACATCAGAGGTGGGATCAGGTGCCATGGAGGAGTGAGCATCCCCTGCCGACTGGTCACACCCGCCGTGTGCTCCTTGTCATGATCGGGAAATAACGGAAAAATCCGTCGACAATTCAGTGTGTAAATAATGGCCTAACAATTAGTATGAAAAACGTCAGTCAGCATTTGACTCAATGATGAATTGTATTTGCTGACAAGGTCATTGTATCGACCATAGAACTTACGAAATGATGACTTTAAACGAGACAGCTGATATTCTTGTTTCATCAACTTGTTTGTCAATAATTTACCTCGTTTTAGAAATTGTTCATACGTAGAGCATGCTCTTGCGTATCGAATCAACTGAGAGAGATATACCCCGTATGCCGGTGATGAAAGTATATTGCTGCATAAGTAAGGGAAGTTGACGAGTGAAAAGTTAAAGTCATCACGTTTATCATAAAGCTTGGTTGTTAGATTACCATTAACGTCTTTTTCAAGTAAAATATCCAAATATGAAACAGATGTGTCAGACTCTGTGGTATCTTTTATCTCAAGCTCACCAGGATATATCGTATCGACATAAGAATGAAAATAACCATTGTTAATTGACAATACATCGTCGATATATCTAAATGTCGAGTTGAAGGCCAAAGCAAGTGTTTTCTTCTTTTCACGTACAAGATTTTGGACAAATTCTGCTTCATATGAATACAAAAAAAATTAAGTCAAATATTTTAAAAGGAGTTGGGCTTAGGTAATCTCTATCGTTACAACGTAATTTATCAGCAACGCAAAGTTCAAGCTATCGGCAAAAATGCACCCTTTCTTTCAAAATTATTTTCACTCAAAACATTTTACAAAAATAATCTTTATAAACGTTAAAAAGATATTTTATAAAAATATTTTCTCAAAAGCGAGTTGCCTATTAAGAAGACTTAAAAAGCTAAATTCAATGTATTAAGGCTCATCACCCCTCTGATAAGAGAGGTAACTTATACTGAGATGAATGACTAGATATTATTTCCTTAAAAATGACAAAAGGCGATTTTAGTTAATTTTACACTACAATTCAAGGTATACAGAAGTTGTTCGCAATTCAATGAAAAATTGAATTTCTTTTTGAAAATTATTATCATTAAAGCAGTATTTTTATTTGATTGAACAAAAGGATGATGTTGGCCCAGTCTGCGGGTTCGCGAGTTTCCCCTACAGAATTGGAATTCACCGGAAGTAAGAAAGCGAAACTTAACATAACGTTAGAGAAAACCTTACATATAAACAAGCATCCTAAATTAGACATGATTTTATATTTTGTCAACTGAATCTCTGTGTCCTTATGATACATGTAGATAAGATAACAATGACGGGGTTGTTCAGATAACAAACTGGGTATGATGGCTGATAGTTGTGAACGGGATACGTGTCTCTATAAAACAACAAACTAATATCAGGAATTTGTGTGTTTCCTTGTAAGTATATTGTACATATAATCAATACATTATATTGTAAAAACTGTGTACAACCTCCGGTAACAGACGTGAGAGGAGGGACAGAGAAAAAAAAATCTAAGGTCACATGAGAAAGATTAGTCTGATCATTTATTTACAAAATATTATCTAGATATATGTAAACTATTGTATTGATGGCAGGTAAAATGGATTATGAGAGAGAAAATCGTATTATACATCATATGCAATGCGCAATACATGTATATAAATTTGATTTCCAACTTGGACAAATATATATTTCGAGTAACATTTTACAAAATGAGCGTATTCCAGTTTGATAATTAAAAACTGAGACTTTTGAGCACATCTGTATTTTTTAAATCACAGATTATTACTTCTTTTTCAGAAGCTTAACAATGCGTCCCGCGGGACCCTTCTTTTTGTACAGTGTGTGTTTAATTAGTTTTCCGGTTGTTCGAGGTCAGATTGACACGAGTATCTGTATTCCTGTCACCAATATTTCGGGTAAGGAACCAGACAAATCTTAATGGCTCTATAAATGTGTATATCTATGTTCACCATCGAACGAATTTAGTGCATTTAATTATATATAAGAATACTATATTTATAATAAAAATGTCTGAATCAATAAATCCATTAGAGAAATTCTTTGTTTTGCACAATAATGTGTACATACATCCATTGTGTTTTTTGATATGTGATTCTTTTTAAAAATGGGGGAGAAAATTCAAATCTGTTTAGAGTTGGAAAGGAGAGAGGGTGCAAATCAGACCACGTATCGTTTTTTCTTAAATAAGGATCTTGTGTACATAGATCAAAAGTATTTTTAGTCATAGATAAAATTCAATCGTATAAAGGTATAAATATTGGTTTATGTAATTCGTTTTAACATAGAGTACCAGCCAATTACACCCAGGAATAATATTCGAACATTACCAACGAAGTTTCGATGAACAGAAAACTCAGTTTCTTGGGAAAAAAGAAACATGCATATGAAATGTTCAATATTCATATCAGCCTGATGAAATGGGAAGAATTCTTGAATTGATTATAAATTAAATAATGCTTTGTAGATTTCGATTCACCTTAATTATATTAGAATTGTGGGCAAATAATTCTAACTGCAGAAATTTCCATATGATTAGTACTCTTTAGTGTGCAATGAATAGAGGGCCCCATAAATATCAAAAAAAAACATGAAAAGTGTAGTTTTACATCTGTAGATGCCTCTCCACTACCAGCATTATCCCCTTCCTATTCTACGACAGTGGAATGGAAGTTATTACACAATAACAGCACTGTCAGTATTGAGGAATACGTCATAGGAATGGAGAAGTTAAGCAGTATACGTATTACACAAGAAGGTCATACGTCAAGGATTATTTATGACGAAAACGCACAAGAGTATACAGAAATTGATATTGTAAATAGTGAGTAAGTTGTTTGGAAGGAATAAAGGTTGCGAATATAAAAATAAATGCATAAATCATTCTTTTTATTCTTTGAAATAAGAGATGTTTTTTAAGTAATTTTAATTTTTTTTTTCAGGTAAATGTAAAACACATAAATATATTCTTGATGATGTTTTATTTGGAAAAGAAATTTGGAAATCAACAACAAAACAGTTGTACAATATCTTTAAACAATCAATTACTGTAAGTACAAAGTTATTACTGCAATTTTTTTTTAAACTGTAGAATTTTATGGAAATTTGTACGCTAATTCTAAAATGCTAGTACCTGCAATTGAAATCGAAGGCATTCGTCATTTTTTTTTTTTTTACAAAAGTAAGTAAATGAAATAGGTAAAGATAACGAACAGTGATCTATCTCCAAAAACCCACAAACGACGCAAGTCTGTGAAAAGGACATAAAACACGAACCCATGGAAATTGCTGAGGGATCAGGTGCCTAGGAGGAGTAAGCATCCCCTGTTGACCGGTCACACCCGCCGTGAGCCCTATGTATTGATCAGGTAGACGGAATAATCTGTAGTCACATTTAGTATTAAAACAAAGGCTTAACAATTGATGTGTAATACATGTATGTTATTAAATATACGACCCAGTGATAGATTGTACTTGCTAAGGTCATTAAATCCACCCTTAAATTTATGAAATTATTACTTTAAACAAAAGTTATTGAAATCCTCATAACATATACTTATTTGTCAGTAGCTTGACTCAGTTTAAAAATTGATCGTACTCAGATCATACTCTTGAGTATCAATAAGTTTGGAAACATAAACACCATATGCAGGTGATAGCGGAATAGAACTATATAAATAAGGAAAGTAGACGATGGACAACACAAAGTCATCTCGTTTGTCATACACTTTAGTAAATAGTTGGCCCTTATCGTCTATAGTCGATAAAACATCTGAATACATGTACGAAACAGATGTGATTGACAGATTTGACTCTGTGGTGTCTCTTTTATTTCGAGTTCATTGGGATATATTGAGTTGATATATGAATGGAGGTAACCATTGTTAACAGATAAAACGTCGTCGATATATCTGAATGTCAAGTTGAAGGCCATAGCAAGTGTTTTCTTCTTCTAATACAGAAGTTTTTGTATAAATTCTGCTTCAGAGGAATATAAAAACAGGTCGGCTAATAAAGGAGCTCAGCACAGTTAGTCCCCATTGAAATTCCAACAGATTATCGGAAGACCTGATCTCCAAAGACTAAATAGATATTGTCAATGAGGAACTCTAGCATCCTTTTAAAATCAATTTTAGAGTACTTGTGCGTAGAATGAGAGTGATTTTTTAAAAGTAATTTGTAGATGACCAATAAAAAGAAATGAAAGTTTCCTAGTGTCATTTTATTGAAGAAGCAGTTGTCCATGTTATCAAAAAGCCTAGTTTCTAATTTATCGTGAGGAATGGTTGTATAAAGTGTAGAAAAGTCATACGTTTTGATGTTACTGATTTTGAAAAATTTCAAGATTTTAAATTTTCTAAAAGTTCTTTGGAGTTTTTGAGAATCTACATTTGATTTACACTACTTCTCGAGTATACTGTAGCACAGTACTAGTTAGGTTGGGGGGAAACGTAAATTCCGCTATAATAGTGGTATATCACTATTATAGTGATACTCCGCTATATTTTCAGCCGTATTTACCCTCGATTTCATCAAATAACATGCTTGCTGTTTAAAGCGCAAGTCATGGTGGGTATAAAAATGGACACTAATTGGCACCCTTACATGTTATGAATTTTATTAAATTTCTGCCGATGCCTTTAATAATGCGAACGCACTTTTTAAAACGGAAGTTACATTTTTAACATAGCAACCAGTGATTTCGGTAGTATTCAAGAAAGACTGAATCTCAATTTCTCTCATACGTGTGCACAAATTAATGCTTGTAATAACTTTAAACCAGAATTGAAAGAGGTTTGTCGAATTTACAGAAGAAAGGATGATTTGTGTCTGCATGGTATCGGGTATGGAGGCCCGTTGTGACTAATGAAAAAAAAAACCCCTCATTACATGTATACTTTATTCTGGTGGAACCGATTGATATAAATCGTAAACAATCTATAAGATGTCATATCTACAGGTAATTCCAAGTATAATGATTCCTTTTTTGATGATGAAATCAGAAGTTCAAATGATTAGTCTAATTCGGAAAAGACATTTTTTTTCTTGCATGGAATAACTTGTAGAAGTATAAATTGCACGATTTATTAATTGTCTAAATTGCTTGAAATTTTATATTGTACTACATTCTGTACTGAAAAAAAGCTATGAAATCTTAATTAAAACTATACAAGAATTAGATTATTTCTGCAACAAGAAAATGAAAAAAAAAGAAGAAAAACTTCGTAATTTGAAAATTTGAACAAATATTTTCAATGAAATATGAAGATAAAGTACAGTAATCAAGCTCAAAAGGTCATTGATACAATATAAATTTTGAGCAGAGCAAACATAAACCTCTGAAATCAGCGGCCATGGAGGAGTAAGCACCCCCCCCCCCCCCGTTCGTATAAACGGAAAAATCCATAGTCAATTCAAGATGAAAATAATTGGTTAACATTTCGCATGAATGACGTCAGTCAACATTCGACCCAACTTGACAGATTGTATTTGCATATAAGGTCATAGTATTGACCATGGAATTTGCGAAGTGTTGACTTCAAACGAGATTTTAGAATACCCTTAATTCATAATTTGCAATGTCAGAAGCCTGCTTCGTTTTAAAATTGTTCGTATGGAGAACACACTCCTGTATATATTGAATCAACTGTGAGACATAAACCCCATATGCAGGTAAAAATGGTATATTCCTACATAACTAAGGGAAGTTGACGATAGAAAAGTTGAGGTCATCAGGTTTATCATAAAGTTTGTTGTTGGTTTGCCATCGATCGCTTTCTCCAATATCCAAATATAAAGTAGAGATGTCATACTTCGTGGTGTCTTTTATCACTAATTCTAAACGGTACTTTTATTTTTGGAAAGTGCAGCTACATTTCGTGAAATTTTTGTAGAATGAAAACGTATTATGAATAAATTAATCATTAAGTACTTTTATGCTACATATAACGATTTATTGCAACTGAACTATACAAAATCGGTTCCATCAGAATAAAGTATACATGTAATGAGGGTTTTTTTTTTTTTCATTAGTCACAACGGGCCTCCATACCCGTTACCATGCAGACACAAATCACCCTTTCTTCTGTAAATTCGACAAACCTCTTTCAATTCTGGTTGAAAGTTATTACAAGCATTAATTTGTGCACACGTATGAGAGAAACTGAGATTCAGTCTTTCTTGAATACTACCGAAATCACTGCATGGTTGCTACGTTAAAAATGTAACTTCCGTTTTAAAAAGTGCGTTCGCATTATTAAATGCATCGGCAGAAAACTTAATAAAATTCATAACATGTAAGGGTGCCAATTAGTGTCCATTTTTATACCCACCATGACTTGCGCTTTAAATAGCAAGCATGTTATTTGATGAAATCGAGGGTAAATTCGGCTGAAAATATAGCGGAATTTCACTTTAATAGTGATATACCACTATTATAGCGGAATTTATGTTTCCCCCCAACCTGCTAGTTACGTCTTAAGTTTCTCCTTTACAGCAGTTAATAATATAGATATAATGGCTTGGTATGTATGAATGTATCTTTGCTTGTAAGGATTGTTTTTTTTTATGAAGTTTAGGAATCCATTATAGGTAGGATAGACCGAACACAACTTTCGTTGAATTAAATGTTTAAGATTTTAAAGACTGAAATGTAATTTTGACGAATTTCATCCTTAGAAAGTGAACTGTGAGTATAAGCTGGATTTCCAGATGTAGAAATAAAACCAAGATCTTCGGAAAAAAAAGACGTGTTTGTGAAACACTGATGCCCCTGTATGGCAACTTATAGCAAAGGAATCTTTCTCACTGCAAGTCAAATATGTTGATACCCAAAGTAAGGACTTGTCTTGAGGAATATACCTGTGAAATATGAAAGCCCTAGCAGCATCCATTGAATAGATTTGGAAAAGGTTAAAGTTTTTTTAAAAGTAAGTCAAACATCAAGGTCAAGGTATTCAAAGATAGGTCTAATCACAAGAATGTGAAGTATGAAAGCCCTAGTTCAAACCGTTCAAAAGTTATGGCTAAGGTTAAAGTTTTTCAAAAGTAGGTCAAACTCCAAGGTTAAAGATTTACGAAAGTAGGTCAAACTCCTAGGTCAAGGTTAAAGGGTCAAAGTTGTTATCGAAAGGAAGGTCTTGTCACAAGGATTACACATGTGAAGTATGAAAGCCTTAGCACTAATTGGTAAAAAAAATTATGGCCAAGGTTAAAGTTCGGTAAAATTTTGCAAAACTGGGTCAAACTCCAAGGTCAAAAAATAATATATGATGGCACTCAAAAAAAGGTCTTGTCGCAAGAAATACACATGTGAAATATGAAAGCCATAGCTCCAACGAATCAAAGGTTATGGGCAATGTTATAGTTTTTGCGGACAACAGACAAACAGCTAGACAGACAGACAGCTAGACAGATGGACGGACCGGGCAAAAACTACAGACTCCGAATCTTCGATACGGGGGCATAAAAATACCAAAAAAAAAAACCAGCTAAATAGCGAAATTCATTATTTGTAGGTAAACGGGGGAACTCAGTTCATAAGATCAACGGTGGTTCAAAGCTGGTCAACGTGTGTCTATTTATTCCAGTACAACGTCACAATGGATGCTACCCTTTATTTTGCAGGCTAGTGTCAAATGTTTACAATGATCAATATGTGAGACAAATGATTTGAAACATCTCGATACTTGTGGCATGTTTGATATTTGTATCATTTTTTACAAAAACAATGTAAAGTTTTTGATTTATCCTCCAGCTGAAGGATGGCCGATGCCCTTTGCGGCCCCTGATGCAATGGTTCCAGTGCGGTTAGAACTCCGGGGGTCTTACAACAATAACGAGACAAGGTTCCATGCCGTGGGGGATTACGTCAACTTCCTCCCGTCTCCACCCTCAGACCTTGACAGTGTCCAGGTATGTAGTCCCCTCCATGAACCACAATTCTCTTAAATTGGTTTAATTGTAGTCTGTATATAGAAGTATAGCTAACCTGCTTTAGGATACCTGCATAATAATGACCATTGTTTGCATCCTTTCAGTCCTATTTCATCTGCCAATAATATACGAATCACAATAAAGTACTCATGATTTATAAAAATCGATTAAAGATGAATTTTGTGGGCTGCGGCCAATCATGGTTGATCACATCAGAGCCATCTTTTGAGATCACAAGTATAAGGTTACGGGCTTCTTTATTTCTCTATGCCAGTTCCTTTTTTTCTAATGAACTTAAGAGAATTTTTCAGTACGATACTTTGTACATGTTACATGGTGAACAGAACAAGATTTTTTTTGTTTGCGCACAATTTATTTCACTTCTGAAACGAACTTTCATTCACTAGATTAAGTTTTCGTGTCTTTGTACATGAACTATCCGCAAAAAAAAAAAAAAAAAAAAAAAAAAAAAAATTCACCTGAGATTCACTTGACGCTTTAAAGGAATACCGGTACACTGTTTTGTTATTTTATTATTAAACTATTGATTTTCATTAGTTTGTCTTATTGGTTTGAGTTGGGTTTTTTTTGTGTCTGTAATAGACAGAGCCTGGCATGTTCTGCGCTGGGAAAGATATTGGAAAACCCATGCTTCCTGTTCCAAACGACTTCTCAGCAGTCATAGAACGGGTCAACACGCATGACAAACAAGTGACGTACGAAACGGTAAGGCTTATGCCATTACTTGATCCCAGACTTATATGTGCTTGTCTGTTGTTGTTTTTGTAGTTGTCTATAGTTTCTGATATGTTTCAGGTCTGGTTTGACTCCCGTAGGAAGTTCGTTCGATATGAAACAAAGTCAGCCAGCGGCGATGATACAGATCCCTCGAAGATCGTGTTCGATTTCCATGACGGTATTCATACATTTTAGCAACTTGGTACTCGGGGACCTAGAATGTACAAAAATGTAGAAAAATAAATTATTCTAATAAAAATTCTTATATTTATATTTCATTTGTTAAGAGAATAATTGTGGTCCATTGAGTATCTTTCCCCCTCTGAACTAATGTTTATATTCCTAAACTAACCTGTAATACTAACTCCTTAATTTTTCTTCCCCCAAGGTGTTCGATACTCTATGGATCCTTATACTGGTTCGTGTGACCCTGTGACGGTCATTGAAAGGGGAGATAAGTTCGTCGATCAGACAGCTGTACCAGGAACCAGGATACAGATGCAGAATTCTTTAGATTTCTTTAAGATTCAAAACGCCACCATTCAGTATGTTGGAAAGGCAAGAACTCAATGTTTCTCATTTTTAAAAAAAAAATCATTTTTACCCAGATCAAAATCACGCATGCATTGATTGTCGCGTTTAAGTTATGGAGGAATCAACCCTTTCATTTATTGTCCCCCGCTTTTGCGAAAGCGAGGGGACATTAAATCTCATTCGTCTGTCAGTCTGTTTGTCTGTCTAGAAGTCCGTCTGTCATTCTGTCTGTCACAAAAACTTTTAGCTTGGTCATAACTTTTAAATGAGAAAAGGTAGGGATTTCATATTTCACACGTACATTACTTGTGACAAGATCTTTCCAAATATACTATGATTTTTTTACCCCGTGACCTTGACCTAGAAGTTTGACCTACTTTTAAAAAAAAATTAATACCGGTATTACATTAAATTGGTCACAACTTTTGAATGAGAAAAGATAGGGCTTTCATATTTCACATGCTCATTATCTGTGACAAGACATTTCCAAATACACTATGATATCTGACCACGTGACCTTGACCTTGAATTTTGACCTACTTTTCACAAATTTTATCTTTGCTTATAACTTTTGATTGAGAAGAGATGGGGCTTTCATATTCAATATGTGCATTACCTGTGACGAGACCTTCCAAATACACTATGATTTTTTATCCCTTGACCTTGAAGTTTGACCTACTTTTAAAAAATTTTAAGATTACTTTAAATTGGTCATAAAATTTAAATGACAAAAGATACATATGTACATTACCTGTGACCTTTTGATCTAATTTTCATAATTTTTAACATTGCTGATAACGTTTGATTGAGACAAGAAACGGCGTTTACATTTGCATGTGTATTACCTGTTTCAAGACCTTTCCGATTGTATACATATATGTACTTAGTTTTTGACATTTTTTCATATGTGCATTACTTGTGACAAGACCTTTCGGATTGTATTATGATATTTGATCTCATGAGCTTGATCTTGAAATTTGACGTAGTTTTGAGAAGCTACATGTATATAATTTTTGCCATAAGTGTTATTAATTCAATAATGTATCATGCACAGACAAGACAGGACACACAAACGAGACAGTTAAAATATGCCATAAATAATGGCATCCCATCCACTAAGACACCGTAAGCGGGGGACCACAATTCTTTGAATTTGCTTGTTCGTTAATTTGTTTAAATTTTGGTCTTCTGACACTTGAACATGCAGTTTCCTTCGAAAGAAAGGATGTTTTGTATATAACGCACACATTTGTAAATAACAGGGTATCCTATAATGATAATATAATAGTGATAAAATAATATTTCAGAGATACACAAGAAAGATATTCTGTGATGTGTGGATCGGGCTGTATTATGATTTAAATATAGGTCAGAACCAAACCGTGGAGTGGTATTTCCTGGGAGTAAGTACTATAATTAACTAAACAGGGGAAAGGGTAGGGGGTATATTACACAAAATTTCGGTATACCTAATCAGTATATGGAAAGATCAATAAAATACTTAATGTTTATATGATTGTTTACATACATGTTTGTCATCTATGGAAAAATACATATTCATCTGCTTCATTCTTTCTGTACAGGAGGGGTGGCAGGAGGGAATCGGTACGTCCATCACCCCCGGAAGTTTGGTCAGGTTTGACGTGTGGGCGGTGAGTCAAGTTTTAGATTTGTTTCTTTGTTTTGTTTTGTTTTTTGGGTTTTTTTTTTTTTTTTTTTTTTGGTTTCTTTTTTGCTTTGTTTTGTTTTTTTTTTATCTTTTCTTTGAGAAATGATATGCACATCTTTAATGATGATGGTGTTGTCCCTAAATAAATTGAATTGAATTAATGTAATGTATTCATTTTATGGAAACAATTTCCAAATTTTGGCAGCCGTTCGATGATGTTTTTTTAACATTCAATACAATAGCTACTTCATGGTAATTTGTACTTTGAATTAATTAAAAAAAGGGTTTTCAGTCAAGAATATCATTTTCTATGTTGTATTTTAACACTTGCAGGAGAATTCGGATTTTGCCATCATTCACAATGTACACAAGCTGAACCCGTCACCCCCCTATCTTTCCAACTTCGATATAGGACCCTGCTTCCCAGGAAATAAAAGACAAAACTTTGTTATCAAGTTTGTGGGTAACTGATTTTTTTTACTTATTTAAGTTTTAGGTTAAAACTTTTATATGCTCTAGATACAAATAAATCAGTCAACTCTTCTGTCAAATACTTCTAATTCATTGGAATTTTTTTATAGAACATTGAAACATATTTTTCCCTATTTTGACCTATTCTAAAGTACTTTTTCAACCAACAAGACTACAAAACATCCTTGACAACATTAATTCTGAAACAATGTCCTTTGAAAAATTCGTATAAGGAGTTTTTTAATCAATATTACACTTGTAAAATGAAGTTTTAAAAAAAATGGCTACATGTTGTTCATAGCTGTTAAAAAAATAGTGAACTAACAGGTTTTTAGGTCACCTGAGCCTTCGGCTTAGATGAGCTTTTCTGATCGAAGGGTATCCGGCGCCCGTCTGTCGACTGTTGTCTGTCGTGTGTCGTCTGTAAACTTTTCACATTTTCTACTTCTCAAGAATCACTGGACCAATCTCAACCAAACTTGCCACAAGCATCTTTGGGTAAAGGGTATTCTATTTTATTTAAATAAAGAACCTTTTCTCTTTCAGAGGGAAATAATTTAGGACCAGTAAAAATTTCATGGTATCTTTTTAAAAATCTTCTTCTCAAGAACCACCGTGCCAGAAAAAGATGAATTTATGTAAAAGCTTTATTATACAGTATAGATTCAAGTTTGTTCAAATCATGACTCCTCGGGGCTATAGCGTTGCCATGATTAGTCATAATTATATGGAAGCATCCTCAGATATAATGTAAATTCAAGTTTGTTCAAATCATGATTCCTTGAATTATAGGGTGGGGTCACAATCAATGAATAAGTATATAAATAAATTTTGTTTTTTGGAAAAAGATCACCAATGAACAGAAAATCTATGACAAGGTATATTGATATTCAAGCACCCTCAAAATTGTAGATTTAAGTTTGTTCAGATCAGGGTCTCCAGGAATAGGTTGAGGCTAGAATTGGGGATCAGAGTTTTACAAGGAAGTATACATAGGACAAAATCTTTAAAAAGAGTTTGCAAGATCATACTTAATTTTATTGATAAGCAAAACATAGTTAATATAAGATGCATGTGTAGAGCAGAGATTTTCTTTTTTAAATTATGAGCCCTGGGGTTAAAGTTGAGCCGAAATCAGAGATTCAAATTTTAATTTAAAAGCATGTGTACAGGAAAATAAATCTTCTCCAAAACCACAGGCACTTGGGGTCTGGACCCCCCCCCCCTTTCCATTTTTTTTTCTTTTTAAATATGGGGTCATGTCACCTTTTTGCTATTTTTGTATTCTAATATGCACTATATGTTATCAATAATGTAACTCTTTTGTCTCTATAGTCGAAAACGGTATATCTAAAAACAGCATATAGAAACAAAAGAGTTACATTATTGATAACATATAGTGCATATTAGAATACAAAAATAGGAAAAAGGTGACTTGACCCCATATTTAAAAAGAAAAAAAAAATGGAAAAGGGGGGGGGGGGTCCAGACCCCAAGTGCCTGTGTCCAAAACAAGGTCTATGTTGACCGTATTGATATTGAAAATCCAGGTGCTGTGGTGATTTAACTTTGAATAGATCGTATTTACTTTAGGTCTAAATTTAGGTCCTCAACATGTAGTCAAAATATTTATGAAATTAAGGAAATAATGAATTCAAAACTCTGCGGCCCATGGGTCTCTTGTTCTATATGTTCTATTAAATTTGTGAGTGACCTTACTTTACATTACAAAGCAAAATTGAGAAAGAGATCTTACAAGAAAAAATTGTGTTTTTAGCTCACCTGAGCCGAAGGCTCAAGTGAGCTTTTCTGATCACATTTTGTCTGTAGTCCGTCTGTCCGTCTGTCCGTCTGTCTGTCCGTCTGTCCGTCTGTAAACTTTTCACATTTTCAACTTCTTCTCAAGAACCACTGGGCCAATTTCAACCAAACTTGCCACAAAGTATCCTTGGGTAAAGGGGATTCAAGTTTGTTCAAATGAAGGGCCACGCCTTCTTCCAAGGGGAGATAATTAAGAATTCGTGAAAAATTAATGGCATCATTAAAAAATCTTCTTCTCAAGAACCACTGTGCTTGAAAATATGAAACTTATGTGGAAGCATCCTCAGGTAGTGTAGATTCAAGTTTGTTCAAATCATGACCCCCGGGGGTCGGGTGGGGCCACAACAGGCGATCAAAGTTTTACATAGGAATATATAGGAAAAATCTTTAAAAATCTTCTTCTCAAGAACAGCAAAGCCATGATTGGTCATATTTATATGGTAGCATCCTCAGATAGTGTAGATTCAAGTTTGTTCAAATCATGACCCCCGGGGGTCGGGTGGGGCCACAACAGGCGATCAAAGTTTTATATAGGAATATATAGGAAAAATCTTTGAAAATCTTCTTCTCAAGAACAGCAAAGCCATGATTGGTCATATTTATATGGTAGCATCCTCAGATAGTGTAGATTCAAGTTTGTTCAAATCATGACCCCCGGGGGTCGGTGGGGCCACAATGGGTGATCAAAGTTTTACATAGGAATATATAGGAAAAATCATTAAAAATTCTTCTTCTCAAGAACAGCAAAGCCATGATTGGTCATATTTATATGGTAGCATCCTCAGATAATGTAGATTCAAGTTTGTTCAATTCATGACCCCCGGGGGTCGGGTGGGGCCACAATGGGCGATCAAAGTTTTAGATAGGAATATATAGGAAAAATCATTAAAAATCTTCTTCTCAAGAACAGCAAAGCAATGATTGGTCATATTTACATGGAAGCATCCTCAGATAGTGTAGATTCAAGTTTGTTCAAATCATGACCCCCGGGGGTCGGTTGGGGCCACAATGGGCGATCAAAGTTTTAGATAGGAATATATAGGAAAAATCATTAAAAATTCTTCTTCTCAAGAACAGCAAAGCCATGATTGGTCATATTTACATGGAAGCATCCTCAGATAGTGTAGATTCAAGTTTGTTCAAATCATGACCCCCGGGGGTCGGGTGGGGCCACAATGGGTGATCAAAGTTTTAGATAGGAATATATAGGAAAAATCTTTAAAAATCTTCTTCTCAAGAACAACAAAGCCATGATTGGTCATATTTATATGGAAGCATCCTCAGATAGTGTACATTCAAATTTGTTCAACTCATGACTCCCGGGGGTCAGGTGGGGCCACAATGGGCGATCAAAGTTTTACATAGGAATATATAGGAAAAATCTTTAAAAATCTACTTCTCAAGAACAGCAAAGCCATGATTGGTCATATTAACATGGTAGCATCCTCAGGTAGTGTAGATTCAAGTTTGTTCAAATCATGACCCCCAAGGGTCAGGTGGGGCCACAATGGGTGATCAAAGTTTTACATAGGAATATATAGGAAAAATCTTTAAAAATTCTTCTTCTCAAGAACAGCAAAGCCATGATTGGTCATATTTACATGGTAGCATCCTCAGGTAGTGTAGATTCAAGTTTGTTCAAATCATGACCCCCGGGGGTCAGGTGGGGCCACAATGGGCGATCAAAGTTTTACATAGGAATATATAGGAAAAATCTTTAAAAATTCTTCTTCTCAAGAACAGCAAAGCCATGATTGGTCATATTTAAATGGAAGCATCCTCAGATAATGTAGATTCAAATTTGTTCAATTCATAACCCCCCTCCCCCCCCACCCCCCAACCCAACCACTTTTATATTTAAACTTTTCAACCTTTCAAGACTGAACTGATTTCTGCTTTACCTAGCCATAGTGCTCAGGTGAGCGATGTGGCCCCTGGGCCTCTTGTTCTTCTAAACTGACAGAAAATATCAACCACAAAAAAATTAGTTTTGATACCTAATCCCCCGTTATTTTATTTTATTTTTTAAAATGTTACAGCGAGTGGTCTGGACTTGACCCAGATCAGTCTGAACTACATCACAGACCAGATACAAGAAATCCTGACAAGCCAGGCACAACTCGATAATCTTAGATTCAGCAATGTAGCGGTAATGCACATAACCGGGATTTAAAGGGGCTAGGGCGATTCTTGTTTCCTTTTTGTCTCGAGGGGAATTGAAAATGACCTCAAAATGCAATGGCTAACTTAATATGTTTTTCCTCCAACAGTTTGACAATTTGGGATTTAATCAGTGGTACTTTAGTGGCGTGCTGCTTGATAAGTCACCCATTGATAACCCAAATATCTACCCGCCTCCTCTGACGAAGGAACCACTAAATAGCGCCTTTGACTTCCTCAGGGGGTTTGTGGATACGCCGTGGGTCTACAACACGACCGAGCCAGGATTGGTATATTGAACTATATTCATTTCTTTTCTTAAAAGTCTGTTTGTATGTATATTGCAAAAATAAGACATGATACTGACCGACAATTATGGATTTTGAGGTGTAGGCAAACAACAAAGAGCCTAATCTCTTAACCGTAGAAAAAGTTGTATACCCCTAGGTATCTTGTCAGGGGCTCGTGGCGATCGTCAAATGAACTTTCTGTCTTCTGTGGAGTACGGCGAATACACGTACGACAAAGACACTGTATTGATACGAAAATTTTTGGCTAAGCTAGATCCTTTTGTCTAATAGTAAAATTACTTAGGTTATAATATTTTTTTTTAAAGTAAATTTTGATTCAAAGTACAATTGATCATTATAGAGTGTCTAAAGCAATTGACACCTACATCGACTTTTTAAGACAATCCTCACTGAACACTGATGACATTCAAATGTTATAATCATGATAACTCTTTTCCTACCCTGCCCCTTCCCCCCCAAAAAAGTCAGATACTGTACAATTATGGACTCTATTAGCGGTATTTATCATATCTTGTAATACCTCTATCGATCTCTGCAAATTCTGTGTAGAACAAGAAATTAATGGAAAACCTGTTAGTTTTACTTGTAGCATGTGAAATACATTGATTTATTAAAGCAAGCTTACATTGTTATGTCCAGGTTGTTTTTATCATTATTTGGAAAATAAAGTTTCACGTCTGGCAGATATACTTCTATCTTTGAAAATTATAACAGAGCTTCCAATTGGTTGCCATGGGGATCCTTCCGCTGTACTACCCGGATGAATTCACGACAACCACCACACAGCCGACAACAACAGGAACTTACCTTGTACCGACCTTACCTGTCCAGACTACAGGGACAACCTCTATACCCACACCCCCAGCCCCACCAACGGGGTCAACTCACACAACTAAGGTCACCACAAAGCCGCCGGTGACAACAAAACTAACTACTAAAGCAACAACCAAACAAAACCCAGGTAATCAGTTCCCTCTACCGCTGCTATCCGTATTGGCTCTGTCAACCAAAATTAAAAACTCAGACAACCTTAATTTATTACGAGTGATAGTACAAGAGAAGCGGAAAGAAAAATAGTTATAAGGTTAATTCTAAGAAATAAAAGCATCAAATCGGCCGCAAAAATATATTTAGCATTTTAAAAATATTTCTATAATAAAGAGTCCAAAGAAAAAAAAGGTCAACGTCGAAAAATTATATGAAATATTTTCATTGCAAAACTGTTTACTTGTCTTACCTATCTGGGCATTTTTAATACTTTTATTTTCAGTGATCAATTGTTAAATATTTATCAAAATAAATAAATTAATGGATATTATAATCAAAGATAAAGGATATACGAATGTATCATCATCAGATTATTTGATTGAAAGACATATTCAACAGGTCCATGTAAATGTGCAACATGCCATACACCAAAGGCATGCCCGACCGTCATCTGTCCATTGGTAACAACTCCCAAACCACCAGCACCAAAGCCGTGCACTACCTCAGCGTGCAGCTGTCCAAAAGTCACGTGCCCAAAACCTACACCACGAAAACCACCAAAATGTCCAAAAGTCACCTGTCCTGTGACATCAAAACCAGTGACGTCACCTTGTACTCCTATGAGTCCCACAGGGGTTACCGCACTGAATAATGTGGGTGCGCAGGCGCAAAAGTCGAGCAATGGTGTTTCTTCAGGTAGAAAAATTATTTTTTGACGATATATTAAGAATATATATTTGTCTAATTTTGCAATTTATCCCTTGATGAGGTTGACAATACAAAATATTTAGATAAAGATGGTATTTAGAACTGATTATTTTACATTAATTCGTTATTTTTTCCGTACAGGTGGCGCTGTGGGTATTGCGTTTGCCTGTCTGATCGTAGGGTCCATGATAGGTGCTATCGTCCTATATGCCTTTCAGAAAAAGTTTCCAAATGGATTTAGAAATAGTGATGGATATTTAAACCCAGTTTTTGATGGGGAGAGTAACAAATACTAAGATTAATAACTCACAAGTATTTTGTACAATATTTTGTTATGTTGTGTTCTTATACAAATAAACTGTTATTTATTGTTGTACTTATGTGATTATTTATTTATCTGTACAAAGATTCTGTCAGGTGTTATTTAACTGTACAAAGACAGACAGGTGTTATTTAACTGTACAAAGACAGACAGGTGTTATTTAACTGTACAAAGATTCTGTCAGGTGTTATTTAACTATACAAAGACAGACAGGTGTTATGTAACTGTACAGATTGACAGGTGTTATTGAACTGTACAAAGACTGACAGGTGTTATTGAACTGTACAAAGACTGACAGGTTTTATTTAGCTGTACAAAGATTCTTTCGGGTGTTATTTATCTGTACAAAGATTCTGTCGGGTGTTATTTATCTGTACAAAGATTCTGTCAGGTGTTATTTATCTGTACAAAGATTCTGTCGGGTGTTATTTATCTGTACAAAGATTCTGTCCGGTGTTATTTATCTGTACAAAGATTCTGTCGGGTGTTTTTTATCTGTACAAAGATTCTGTCGGGTGTTATTTATCTGTACAAAGATTCTGTCAGGTGTTATTTATCTGTACAAAGATTCTGTCAGGTGTTATTTAACTGTACAAAGATTCTGTCAGGTGTTATTTAACTATACAAAGATTCTGTCAGGTGTTATTTAACTATACAAAGACAGACAGGTGTTATTTAACTTTACAAAGACAGACAGGTGTTATTTAACTATACAGATTGACAGGTGTTATTGAACTGTACAAAGACTGACAGATGTTATTGAACTGTACATGTACAAAGACTGACAGGTGTTATTTTACTGTACAAAGACTGACAGGGGTTATTTAACTGTACAAAGACTGACATGTGTTATTTATTTAACTGTACATGTACAAAGACTGACAGGTGTTATTGAACTGTACAAAGACTGACAGGTATTATTGAACTGTACAAAGACTGACAGGTATTATTTAACTGTACATGTACAAAGACTGACAGGTGTTATTTAACTGTACAAAGACTGGCAGGTGTATTTTAACTGTACAAAGACTGACAGGTGTTATTTAACTGTACAAAGACTGACACGTGTTATTTATTTAATTGTACATGTACAAAGACTGACATGTGTTATTTTACTGTCCAAAGACTGTTAGGTTTTTATTTAACTGTACAAAGACTGAAAGGTGTTATTTAACTGTACAAAGACTGACAGGTGTTATTCAACTGTATATGTACAAAGGCTGACAGGTGTTATTTAACTGTACAAAGACTGACAAGTGTTATTTTTCTTTACTAAGATTGTAACGTGTTATTTAATTCATTTATACTAAGATTCTAGCAGATGTTATTTTTCTATCTGTATACAAGTAATAATTCTGATGGATGTTATCCGTGAAATAAAATGATTCACTGTTCTTTATCATTATAATAAAACATATTCTACTTAATTGTGGTTTGCAACGTTTCAAAAGAGTGGCAAAAATAGTCATAAATCTAGGCCATCCTTAAAAAATGTTTCTTTGGAATTGCCGCCTGTAGGATTTCAGACCCAGAAGAGAGGGAGGGAATATATTTTTTTTTTTGAAAATTAAAGTTAAATTAAAAACTGTTCATAAAAATCTCAATACACAGTGAACACATTATTTTCTAACTTTCGTAAAAGGTTTCTCCCATCAACCAATAACCCAGTTTTTGCTTGGAACTGGTGCTAATTAAGTGTTTAGGTGGCACATGTGATAATAGGCCAAAAATTGATTAAATAAAAATCTTCTCATTTTTGGCCAATAAATTTTTTTCAGGAGGGGTCATTTCAATGAGGCGGGAGGCAGTTCCAAACAAACAATAATTTTATTTTGGCCCTAGCATACAGGATTAATGTACATATGTTCACGCAAGAGTCAAACAATATATTACTGTGTCTGGCGCAATGTTATGTCTTACTGATTAATATATAGATTCTTTCCAATATATTTGTAAAGAAAATTAAACAGTCTGGATTTTTTTTAATCTTCTAGAAAGTTCTTCCAATCTCTCTCTCTCTATATATATATACACTAGACAAAATTGCTAACGCACCACTTGTTATTCTGGTTTGTGAATTGAACATTTGCCTAATCGGTACTAGTTTATATAATACACCAACTTTTCCAGTACAGTGGAATTGATAAATGTCTTGGTGTCATGACAAAACCTGAAAATGACCTTCTTGTCCGAAAACCAATTTCCCGACATGCATTGCGCATCCTTTTTGCCCAGATATGAAGTTTGTGATTACCGATGATGGTCCTTGAGGTTACACCAGAAGCAGTTTCCCAGTTAAAAAATCAAATAATACGCAGCGATTGACTATCATATCGCCTGTTAGTCATCCAGTGCCTTGGTATTCATACTCAGTCCACCCAACTTCCGGTTGCCCCAGATTTGTGGAACAACCTTGAAGTTGTGGTGTGGTGTTTACTTAATGGTTTGGTTATCTATAGTAAACATTTTTTTATTTGTTAATCTATTTGCAACAATTTTTCACTAGAAGAATAAATAATTATTTCTTTGTTTTAAATTTTTATAAACTTTTCCAAAGGAACCCCCTGCAGACACCATACTGACTGTTTTAGCACGCTCTTCTAGGATCAAATGCCGCATGCAGTGTATTTTTTTCCTGATTTTTTAATTAGTACTAACATAAAGAACACAGACACAAAGAAAAAAATAGAAATTTATTCCTCCAAAAAAGTATGAACACGATTTTCATTTTTCTATGAAATGGTCACGCTTCATTTAACATTATAGTTATTTATCGGTCAAGACATTTAAATGCCTCATTTTTTGCTTACGTAACTTAATTATTTATCAAATACATCATAAACAAGTTTTGAAAAGTTAAATATTAATTTCATTTGGTGGTGCGTTAGCAATTTGTCTAGTATATATATATATATATATATATATATATATATATATATATATATATATATATATATATATATATATATATATATATATATATATATATATATATATATATGTCCTGACTGGTGATTTGACCAGTCAGCCACATTCACAATGTCTTTCACTGAAAGTCTTGCTTCTAAAGCTGCTGAAGTTGATGCACTTCGAGTAGAATGGGCACCATCTCCACTTATCCCAAATCTAACCAACACAGACTTAATCCATCTTGCAATTTTACTTGAAGTCAGCTGTTTATGAGGTTTGAATATTGAAATAAGCTACTACGTAAATCTTCTGTTCTGTCAAATGAATGTAACACTGCAGAGTTGACTTTACACACAATTTCTTACACTTAGTGTAAGCTTGTAATACAACACTTTTGGCTGGTTTGCCAGGTCTCGAGGTTTTTGTAAGTTTGTTGATCACAAAGACCGCCTTTGATGGAAGAATCTTTAAAAAATTAAGATCCAAAAACGCAATGGATTGTCCCCTATCTGCAGACACCAAAGCTATTAAAATAGCTAACTTATATGTCAAATCCTTAAGTGACAAATTGCCATTACATGGTAATGAATTGAGAAATTTCAGAACAACTGAAACATCCCACACATAAGAATATTTTGGAATTGTTGGTTTTTAAATTATATACACCCTTCATGAATTGTGTAACAGTTGGATGCTTTCCAACAGGAAAGCTATCAATTTTTTGGGATAGTGGTAGATAAAATTGAACGATAACTACTTATTGCACTATATGATTTGTTTTTCTGGAATTCACAAGACAAATATTCCAACACATCGACTATAGAAACCTGAAAGGGATCCATACTCCGGCTGCCACACCAGCCCAACTACAGTTTCCATGCAGATTGGTTGGGTTCTCCATGCTTTGCTGAGATTTTCTGCTGTCCTCTTGTAACGTAAGGTCTCCGCACACTGTCCGCGCGACTAGTTTGAGAGTCTTCTCTAATGGGTGTCTCTGTTCTCTGTCGTATGGAAGTGTTAACATGCTGTTTACCACAGGAAGAAGAATTGGATTCCTGCAAGACAAATGAAGGACTTGTGGATACCACGGTTGAGTTTTCCAAAAGGGAGTTATCAATATTAGTAGAGGATTGTCCCTTATTACTTTCTGAAGAACAGCAGATATTAGTCTTTCAGGTTTGTCCAGGGCATTGAAAAAGCATCCGTTTTCCATGCCATTGGATCTGGTTGCCATGACACGTAACATGGAATTTGAAAGTTTAGACGACTTGCAAACAAATCCACTTGTGGGTGAAAAAGTTGTTGAAATATCCTGTAAGTTAGGTTATGATTCAATTGCCATTCCATCTGATCCATAAAATGTCGACTCAAAAAATTTGCATTCTTGTTCTCTACTCCTAGAATATGCACAGCCAGCTGTCAGATAAATCTTTCTCACTATTGCCCATTCCCAGATTTCCTTTGCCAAGGAGTTCATTAATATTGAGTGAGTTCCTCCCCTGTGATTCAAGTAAGCTACTGCTGTCTTGTTGTCTACTTGAATTTGAATATTCTGGCCATAAACTTGATCGGCTACTGCCATCAGTACAAAATGAACTGCTTTCAATTCTAGAAAATTGATATGCAACTGCATCTCCTCGGTTGTCCATCTGCCTGACACTCGGCGTTGGTTCAAACCCCCCCCCTCTTTTTTTGGAAGCATCTGTTGTTATAATTATGGTCGGATCTTGAAAATGTATGGGTTTTCCATTGAGGGCTTCCAGGTTTGGAATCCACTATTGAAGCTCCATTACTGAATCTAGAGACACTGTCATTTTGCCTTGGTAAGATTGGACCTGAAACAAAGCTTCTGTCTTGTCTTTTTCCAAATAACGGTAGTGAAGGGGGCCTTGGTAGACTGCAGGGAAAGTTGAAACAAGAAGGCCAATGATATGTGCTATAGAACGAATTTTAGGTTGTGCCTGAAGAAGAAGAAGGTTCTGAATTTCTTTGAGAATTTGTTGCACTTTTTCTTGTGGTAACGAAATTTTCATCTTCACTGTGTCTTTGACATAGCCGAGGAATATGTCATCTTCACTGTGTCTATGACATAGCCGAGGAATATGATTGACTGAGTTGGTTGAAGTGAGGATTTTTTCTCGTTGATTTGGAACCCAGGATTATACCAATGTCGCATCTAGTGTGAATTCTGTATGATACCTTTGTAAACAAAAGGTTGTCGACGCAAAAGGTCCATAAAAATAAACTTTATTTAGCATCTTCTGCTGCCCCTGGATTTTGGAAACATATACTGCAGTGTGAACAAAGGACGAAGTGTTTCATGTTTCTGGAATGATTGTTTAAATCATTAATTAATTCGGGGGGGGGGGGGGGATAAAAGCCTTGCAAAAGTCACTGAGTATAATAAGATTTACACACGTTAAATATATCCCAAAAATTATTTAATAGAAGATAATGTTCATGATACGATGTGTAATTTAATTTCTGTTGTTTATTCAAATCGTGTTTGAACTTATGATTTAGTTTAGATAACTATAGTAAAGTTAGTTTTTCAAAATGTAAAAATATATGTAATTTTCTTATATTGGTGAAACTGGCTTGCCTTTGATCGCCGAACATGTTTGCTGTCTTATACAGCTGGTTTTCGCCTAATTGAGTTTGTCAGCAGCTTTTTTCCTGTGCATAATCAGGACAGGGTACATGTATACCGAGACACAGGATAAAAGAGAAAATAAGCACAATGATGTCAAATGCCAAAGGGTAATTGTGAAAAAAAAATGTATGTGTGGTTAATTATTTTATAGAAACTAGAGCGCCGGTGATATAGGACGACGTACATTTGTAACATTTATTTTGTTTTAGATTCATTTTATTGATTCCATTTATTTTCCTTTATTAAATAACATAAAGCTTTTGTGTCAACAAGATTAGTCAATAAAATGTTTGACCAGAATCGCGTGTTATAGAAGTAACACTTGAGTAGTGTTCGATTAGGTTATCTTCCCTTTTCGTGATATTTAAATCAAGGTCAACTGTGCGAAATCATTCATTCATGAAATTGTCAGATCAAATAGCTCAATAGGTAGAGCGTCCGGCCCAAGTTCGGAGGGATCTGAGTTCGATTCTCCTCAGGAGCGTCAAGTGTTCTCCTTTCCGTTAGAGCCGGGGTTGGCCAAAGGAAATGTGAGTATGCGTCAAGGCGGGACTGAAGAATGGGTTCAGGAATAAAGAACTTCGACAGGTATTCGGAAGGTCCTGGTTCAAATCCAGGTTTGATCTGACTTTTTGTGATTTTTTTTTTTTAATTTTAATTTTAATTTTTTTTTTTATTTATTTATTTACTAGTATTTATTTTTTGGGAGGGGGATGCATGTATTTTTAATAATGCTAAACATTACAGACTGTGATTGCGATTTAATTATTAACTTTGCTTTTAAATTGTTCATAATCGTGTGCGGATCCATGCATTTTGATTGGGGTGATTTTTTTTTTTAGAGGCAGGGGGTCTATAGGGTTTGCCTCCAGTATGTACAGGGCGAAGCCCTGGGGGGGGGGGGGGGCTAAGCCCCTGGAGGCTCCTGAATTTTAGTGCTTTGAAATTTAACTTTATATTTAGCCTTCATTTGCCCTTTCCTGCAAACGCACACATTTTAGCATCAATAATCAGAATATGCAAAAAATTTCACCAGAAAATTCCTTTCTTAACAAACTTATTTGCTTGTGACTGAGCTGTGCTTTCAGTCCACCTATATATACTTATTTTTTCATGGATATTAGCCATCCCCAAGCCCCCCCCCCCCCCCCCCCTCAATTTCCATCTCATTTGGACTTATTATCCTAAAACGGCCCACTCCGAAGTAATTTTGCCAAAAAATTCTTAAGACATTTCACTTATGATGTTTTCATTTTATTTTCATACGAAGTTCTTTAAACTGCCTTCATCGGCCTCTGAACAAAAATAGGTATTTAATTTTTAATTCTTGCCGATATGTATATTGTGGAAATAGACGATAAAGGAATCCGTTTCTCCCGTGATATTGATTGCTTGAAAAGTAAAATCCACGTAATGCTGCATTTGAAAGAGTGCCAAAATCTAGTATTTTATAAATTTAAAACTATTTCAACGTATTTTGATATGCATGTCAGGGACGTAGCATCGTTTTTGAAAGTGGGGGTGGGCAGCCATAGAAAAAAAAATCAACTTACCTGAAAAAAAAAACTTGACAAGCCAAAAAGAAAAAAAAAAGGAAAATTGTCCAAAATCGAAAATCCTATTTCGTGGGGGGGGGGGGGGGGGGTTCCAACTTCTTTCAGTACCAAATTTTATATATACACTACTACATTACCCTTATTTATGCTGCAACAAAAAGGGGGGGGGGGGCAACCACCCTTTCCCTTTCATGAACATTTTCAATAGTAAAAAATTATGTTTGAAAAAAAGTGCCCCCCCACGATGCTACGTGCCTGCATGTTTTACTAACATGACTTTTTTCTTTCCATTTATGTTTATTTTCATGTAACCTTAAGGGGGGGGGGGTTCAGCCCCTCTCCTAAATCCGCCATTGATAATTAATCCATTATTCATGTAATAATTACGTTCTTTGTGATAAAGTATTGCCATCACAATTTGCTTTTTTAATGCACTTTTGTTTTGTTTTGTTTTGTTTTCCGACTGAAAGTTTCAAGATCGGGATCGGTGTTCTGAAGAATTTGATATATTGTATCGGAACACCTCGGACTTTATCGCTTGAAGGAAAAATGGCAGCTGTGAAACTTGCAAAATTGTTATCCTATTCTGCTGTGGTATATTCTTTCCGCGACCTATTTGTTTGAAGTGTTGTTGCTACTACAACAATGGTAAGATAACGTTTCATAAAAGGCAGTTGTCAAAACTTGTTTTTTGACATGACAGTTGTGAAAACTACACAAGAAGTTGCGTAATTTCACACTGTATAGTACAAATATGATGGTTTTGACTGTTGAATATTTTTCAGATGTTTGTCTTTTTCAACCACATTTATGATGTGTAGAAAATGTTTTAAATATTGAGCTGCTTTAACTCGTATCATGTGCGAAATTTCAGATGCGTAATTAGTGTCTACAAATTGTTTACATCTTGTTTGTCAATGATAGAGTTTTCATCCTGTTAACAAGGAAATCTTTACAGATTGTTGAAATTTACGGATAAGAGAGTTTGTAATGAAAAAGTGACCACCCAGAAAGTTTTACTCAGAATAATATGTTTGATTGAGCGACTGTCTGGGCAAGCAAACTTGTATATACATTGTAAACTTATAACTAAGATATGCCTCTTCTTACTGCTTGCTTGTTACACTAGGTGAGAGTTCATATGCACTTAGCCTAGACTATGACATCATAGTTGCATTCCCAAAAGAGAATCTAAAGAGTGCAAATTTTTAACTAAAAACAGCTTCATTTGTTTCTTTTAAGAGAAGACACAATTATCAATATTGATCATTTGCACTTTTTTTTTAAAGACTACCATAAATTTTGCTTGCCCATGTATTTTGTCTGCTGTTATACAGTAAAACTCGGTTATAGCAAAGTTCTAGGGACCTGTGAATATACTTCGCTATATCCGTAATTCGTTATACGCGTATAACGAATTCGCTAAAGTATACATAGCGAATTCGCAATACAGATTTTTTCCTTCAAGTATCACTATCAGATGTAAGTAGGGGATTATAAAACTGAATAAAATACAAAATTTACATTGAAGTACAAAAGTTTTTGATTGAATTGAGTTTCATATCCAAATACTTACAAAATAAATGTCAGTATAATATTTTAAAAATTTGTGAAAATTCGCCGTAAAAGATGCAAATTTAGTTATTTTTAGCTTCTAAGGGACACAAAATCAGTTCGCTATAACTGTAAAATCGCTATATCCGAGTTCAATATATCCGTAAAATTTTACAAGAAATTGTTAAGAATCTCGCTGGGGATGTCGAAAAACTGCTTTATCCGTAAATTCGCTATAGTCGTGTTCATACTACGGGTAAACGAGTTTTACTGTAGCAAGGAATAGCAGTAGCCAGGGAATGATTTGAACTTGATTGATCAGCGTGCATATTTCAGTTTAATTTTCCTTTGTTCATACATGTTACTCCATAGAGCTCACTGCACTCACTAAAATTTCATTCTTCTGAAGGATGATTCAAAGGAAGCTACCATACCTAGCTTATTGAGCAGTGACACCCAGGAGGGTTCCAACCCCCTTAATCTAGAGAGAGAACTAAGTGACTTCCGTAGTCAGTGGCAACAGGAAATAAAGAAGGGATCACCAAGGGGTAGACATCATGTCAATGATGAACAGACAGACAGTTATATCTTGGAACAGGTCAGTTGTATATCCTTGTTCTAACAGCAGGGTCAGTATTCTAAAGTCTTACATAATAACAATTGAGAAATGTGTGCCTAAAAAGATATTTGAGCCAAAAAGAGAATAAATGGTAGAAATTAAACTGAATTTTCAGAATATCATTATGAACTAGATTAATCTTTTACCTTGATTTTGTATTTTGTGTTCAGGCAAAGGTGTTGTTTATGAAAGGTTCACATCTGGAGCAGTCTGGACATTTATATGAAGGTGATTATCCTATTCAGTATTTATCTTCTGTTCATGCTAAAGATATAAACAACATAGAACAATGTGATATAGATGTGCTATAGATATAAACAACATAGAACAGTGTGATGTAGATATGCTATAGATGTAAACAACACAGAACAGTGTGATATAGATGTGCTATAGATATAAACAACATAGAATAGTGTGATGTAGATATGCTTTAGATATAAACAACACAGAACAGTGTGATATAGATGTGCTATAGATATAAACAACATAGAACAGTGTAGATGTGCTAGAGATGTAAACAACATAGAACAGTGTGATATAGATGTGCTATAGATATAAACAACATAGAACAGTGTGATATAGATGTGCTATAGATATAAACAACATAGAACAGTGTGATATAGATGTGCTAGAGATGTAAACAACATAGAACAGTGTGATATAGATGTCCTAGAGATGTAAACAACATAGAACAGTGTGATATAGATGTGCTAGAGATGTAAACAACATAGAACAGTGTGATATAAATGTGCTAGAGATGTAAACAACATAGAACAGTGTGATATAGATGTGCTATAGATGTAAACAACATAGAACAGTGTGATATAGATGTGCTAGAGATGTAAACAACATAGAACAGTGTGATATAGATGTGCTAGAGATATAAACAACATAGAACAGTGTAATGTAGATGTGCTAAAGATTGTAAACAACATAGAACAGTGTGATGTAAATGTGCTATAGATATAAACAACATAGACCAGTGTGATATAGATGTGCTATAGATATAAACAACATAGAATAATGTGATGTAGATATGCTATAAACAACATAGAATAGTGTGATGTAGATGTGCTATAGATTTAAACAACACAGAACAGTGTGATGTAGATATGCTATAGATATAAACAACACAGAACAGTGTGATGTAGATGTGCTAGAGATGTAAACAACATAGAACAGTTGTGCTCTGATTGCCTATAATTATTCTTAAAATTAAATCAAAAACATATTGAGCATATATTTTTGATGTATACTTATTCATTGTTGGAACCATAATCTGCTTTAGGTTTTAGAGTAAATTTGATGAATTTAGGAAACCAATACCAAGAATTGAGAGTATCTTTTTGGATTTTTCAGCTGTAGAGTTCTATAAGAGAGCCACCCAACTTGTCCCTGATATTGAATTTCAAATTGACTTCACATCATTCCACAGTCCTAGAGGTAATGCTTGTCCTCTTGGACCAAACCATACAGACTAAAGTCATACTCAGATAAATCTGAAAACCTAGTGAATGTATCGTCTCTTTGCAAATTAATGTTTGTACGTAAAGAGGTAGAGAATATGAACTTGTATTTATTACTGAATGTTGTTTTTACAGAGAGGCAAGAGAGTGAGAGCTCTGTTGGAAGGTTAGTTCCTCAATAGAACAGTTTGTATAAATTTTTAATGTAATTTTTATAAATACAAATATAAATTGTATTAACATTTTATTGAAAGTCAGATAAACTGATGTATAGTAACAATTTAATATACTGAAAGGAAAAAGGAACGCAGGGTAACATAATATGCGAAAAAATTTTGACTGTATAACCGAAAATTATGAAAATTGGTCAGAGGGATATCTTGGTTACTGTGCATTAAAATCAGTGTTCAGAACTACTCAACCGTGAAATGTATGACGTCACAAAAGGAAAGTGGTAAAAAGCTGAAAACACGTTCATATTGATGACGACATGTTTTTCAACACATCTCGTAGTACCATTTGCTGCACTTAAATAATACAAATTGTTTTTCGATATTTACAGTCGATTTGCATTTCTTGAAATCAAGGTACGGTTGACAGAAGTACCATGGGGTCTGGCTATTGCATTGCCTAAGTAAGGACAAAGGCAACGACAGGTTTCTGTGCAGTTTATTGTGAATTTTTCCACAATAGGACGTCTTACGCGTCCTCAGAGAGGGCGTAGAAAGGTTTCCAACCAACCGTGATGATGATGACATTGATGCGTAACAGCGCCACGTCAAGATCGGGCTATTCATCCTGCCACCTGTATAATCACCATCACATTACCCTAAAACTGCTATTAATACAGCAGGCTATCATAATCGTTACATTCATCCCAAAACCGAAGGAAATCGATAGCACGATTTTGGTTTGTGAGCTCATCAACTTTACATAAGTGTTCCTCTAACTCGGGCATGTGTGCGTCATTTGCCTATTTTTTTGGTCATGTTAAGCCCCACCCAATGCTGCCACGGTTTGTCAAGATTTTCTCGCAAACAATCACATCTATTAACTTGACTGGTCTCCATCAGGTCCATCTTTTTCACATCAAACGTCTGTGGGGCTAGGGGCTATGTGGACAAAAGGGTTTAAAATGTCCAAGCTGGTCTGAATCAACTAAGGGCTGCCTTCTCAGAAGGGTTGAATAATATCCCTATTAGAAGGATAAACACACTGATAAACTCCATGCATAGGAGAATCAAGGCTGTGACAGATGCGCGAGGGAGACGTGGGGGGTACTGTCATTTGAGTTTCAGTAACTCATGAATTAGTGGGGAAAATCAAATGAGATTTTGGTTACATTTTTATCAAAGATGATTTTTAAATGTTAGATAGGAAAACTATATATATATATATATATATATATATATATATATATATATATATATATATATATATATATATATATATATATATATATATATATATAGGAAGTATATAACCTTATTTCACCTAAAAAGTTTACCCTGCGTTTCTTTTTCCTTTCAGTATTTAATTTTATTGTAGATTTATTTTCATAGCAAAAATAGTTATGAATATGTTATAGGCAAAAATCTTCAAAAAGAAAAATTGAAAACAAAAGAATTATGATCATTGTAATTGGGCAAATTTACTCTCACAAATATTGATGTGTGGTGCACGAAATGGTGTTCATATATTGCTGTTTCATAAATATAGTATAACATTTATACTGCTTTTCTTATAACTGTTACATGTACTCTCAGGTTAGGTAAGATCAGAGTAGTATAGATTATAATTTTCAGTTTAGAGAATGAGGACTTTGAGGAGAACTTGGTGGGATACCTACAGAATCTACAGTTATCTGAGGAGGTCAACAATAGGAAGTCCTGTTACCCAGAGTTTGAACAGAGGGTAAGTCATATTAAAATAGGGTAAGTCATATAAACAGAAGGTAAGTCAAATAAGCAAGTTTCTCTGAACAGGATCTTCTTTAGTATTTCACATAAAATCAAATGGTTATTGGGATTTTAAATTTTGGTGCACTTGAGTAACCATTTGAATACCTTAGGGATCGTGTTTCAAAACAAATTATGGTTATGTTAAGTGTTAACCTCATTTTGTTTTTCAGACGACCCACATTTCTGTGTTACCAGTGGAACTTCTTAACTACATCCTACGCTGGGTTGTATCTGTTGACCTTGACATGAAGTCCCTGGAAAATTTCTCTGAGGTAAAGGTCATATTATAAACCACATCCACACCTTTATACAATATGTAGACAGGGTTCGACACTTACATTTTTAGGCTTTAGTCTGGCCGGACTAGTGCCTCAATACTTTTACTAGTCCGCACACGATTTTACGAGTCCGTCAAAAAAAAAAAAACCGTCAATGTTTAATAACGATTAATTTAAAATAAACATAACAATGTATTTTTTTTAAATGAACAAAGCATTTGTTAAAATCTCGCGATCAGGAAGTGCGATCGTATTCCCGATCTCGTTCTGTTTTCTTTAACGTTATACATATCATCCAAAACATCTTTATGTGTTATACTAAATCATGATCGCTAAAATATTTAGTCTCATAGTAATCAGTCCTAAAAGAAAGCGCCAAGTTGGCTCGGAATTACTTAACTATACCCGCCAAGAAGCTAGAAAGCTAAAAATACATGCGGGGTTTTCCAGTAAAAGTTGTGGAGAATCGAACATCGTTAACTTATTCAATTTGTTTTCCAGAAATTTTTATTGGTCCATTCGGACTAATTAGCCACAGATTTTATTAGTCTGAATGAAAATGTATTAGTCTGAGACTAACTGACTAACGTTAGTGTCGAACCCTGGTAGAAGAAAAAAATCTATATGTGGTTGAGGCTTACTTATTTATTTATTTGTAAATAGGTTATTTAATAGAAAATTAATTACATCAATTTCCAAAACTTTCCTGTAATCCCTATTGTTTTCATTCCTTTAAATTACATTGTGGAAAAGGATACAATAATGCAAAGCTTTTTCTACGATTTTAAATAGGTCAGGCTTATGTCATCATGACATTTATGTTAGTCAGCCACAAGTGGTACTCCAAACAATTGGAGAAAATGTCCGACAAGTGTACATTTTGTCTTTGAATACTGTAGATCAAAAAATTTTCATGAAATATAGTTGTTTGGTATTTATAAGTGAAACAAAATTTTCATGTATTTTGTTTATTGCTCTAAATAACCTTTAATAGTAGAATTATGCATGAGAATGAAATGTTCATAAGCAGAGGGTCTTGTGTAATCGTGCAAAAGTAAAGTTCTCATGAATAAAAAGCGATTTACAGTACTTCATCTCAAATTTCAGTGGTTCTTTTTGTTTGATCATATGCAAGAAGGATTCTACATAAAGAATGGAAACATTATTTTTGCCTGAGTTGATAGTTCTATGAAAGATCGCTAAATTCTTCAGTTTATCCAAAATATGAAAATAAAAATGACATGTATATGACAAAACTCCTTCTTCTTCATTCTGATAGACATTTTTCCTTCTTAAGGTATTCAATGTATAACGAGGGGATTTTGAACAATTTTGAATCATCTTAAACTACTTAAAAATGTATTGTTAGATAACAATGAAAGTGAAATGAACCAAATTCACATGACAGATAACGTGTAAGAAGCCAGTCATTTTGCACCTTAAAAGTTTTTGAAGAGTTATCTGCCCTTGATGAAAAGAAGAAAAAATTAATTTTTTCAAAATATCTATGGTGAATGATTCATTTTATTTTATCTTTTAATAAAGAGAGAATTTATGCATATATTCACCAAGAGATTTGTTTGAAATTCAAATTACTTTTTACAATATCTTAAAAACACATGCGCTGCCCATAGACTTCAATGTTAACTTCAAGGTTCAATTAATTGTACAATAATCAAAATTTGGTAAATTCCTTTGGTGGAGTATTTTTGTTTGATAACACCTTCAATATGCTACCATGATTTAAAAATCGGACGATTCATTTATTATGTACAAAAAATGGTCGTTGTACATTGAATACCTTAATGAACATGTACATTACAGGTGTGTCGGGGTTTTTACCTTGCTGCCAGAGATGAGGGAATTTGGCGGTCAGCTTGTCAGAGAGCTTATGGAGCCAGTACGGGAAAGTGTAAGAAGTATGGGGGCTGGCGTAACATGTTTATTCAGAGACCACATCTCTTCTATAATGGTCAGTGTCTAGAAAGTTTATGTTGTTTTTTCTTGTTCATTTTTATTCTCACTCGAGCAATAAGCTCCAAAAAGAAACAACAAATATAAAATTATTGCTTGAGAAGATCCATGCCAATAATTTGCTTTGGATGTTGAGACTCTTCTGCCCATACATATTCTTGATACGTGGCCAGGTTTAAGTTTTTGGAGCAGGTCCTGGTCGTCCATTTCCAAGTAACTATATGTCATAACTTGACCTAACTTGTTTCATTGATGATGCATCTAGAGATACATCCTAATTGCTTTGTTTTAGATACTGTGGGTGACATGTATTTTTGTTTGCTTAATGAAGGATTTAGAATGATGAAATTATATGTAACTAATGGATTTTACTTCAATTTCATTAAGTATGAGACTTTGTCTTATTTATAGATAACATTCAGATGAGCTATGTTCTCTTTGATTACTCATGTTTATCATTTTGTGACTTTTCTCTTAAAGTTTAAAGCAGTGAAAATACAGTCATATGAAAGTATCTGTGTTTTTTTTTTCCTTTTAATTCTGTAACTTATCTGTTTGTGGGTATTTATATCAGTAAATTGTCCTACATGTACGTCAGAGCTGGAGAGAAGAGTTTAGACATTTAATTCTGTAACATATTTGTTTGTAGGTGTTTATATCAGTAAACTTTCCTATGTCAGAGCTGGAGAGAAGAGTTTAGACATTTAATTCTGTAACATATTTGTTTGTAGGTGTTTATATCGGTAAACTGTCCTACGTCAGAGCTGGAGAGAAGAGTTTAGACATTTAATTCTGTAACATACTTGTTTGTAGGTGTTTATATCAGTAAACTGTCCTACGTTAGAGCTGGAGAGAAGAGTTTAGATTGCTACTACCGACCTTTTCACCTTGTGGAGTACTACAGATATGTCCGACTGTTTCCAGATGGTAAGTCTTACTTATTATATCATTGGTCAAAGTTTCTTTTGATGAATTTAATAAAGAGATAGGGAAACAGGCAAAGACTAAAGTGCCCCCTCCTTGTCATTGTTTGGATATACAGTATCAGTGTGGTGGGTCTGTGAAAGCTAGAGATATACAGTTGAACTTCTGAATCTCAGATATCTCGAATACCATGGATATATTAAAGTGATTTGGAGGTCCCAACCACTTATTCTTTAAGAATTTTACGTTCAATATCTCGAATCCTTAGATATCTCGAAGTTTTTTCTTGGTCCCATCAAGTCTGAGTTAACAAGGTTTGACTGTAACTGTAATTAGGTGTAATTATGCTATATTATTTAGGTGTAATTATTTGAATTATATCATACCTCATAAGTGTAATAATGTCATATTTACACATGTAGATGTGTATTTTCAAATCTAATGATATCATTATTTAAGTTGAAGTAACATCACTGTTTACAGGTTTAGCAATGTCAGTTTTTTAAAGATGAACTTTTTAACATCATGTAATGATGTAACTGTTATCTGAAATGTTTCTTGTTATAATGGAGTTTTTTTGTAACACAGGTGTAATTATGACACTGACAAGTCCAGATGTTTCTTGTTATAATGGAGTTTTCTATAACACAGGTGTAATTATGATACTGACAAGCCCAGATGATCCACATAATGTAATTCCCAAACTGAAGATGAAGTCTTCCAAGGACCCGGGGATGTTGAAGGGCGTGTATAAACTGAGTGGAGATAGGGTAAGCAGTGTAATAACACACAAATAAGTGGGGGAGTCATGTACAATGAACAATTAAGGAAACAGCATAAAGTCTAGTCAGCTAAATGTCACTTAATGTCGAATCCAGTCAGAAGTTATTTAAGTACTTTATAAGCTGTCTTGGAATATTGTTCCTTGATTATGTTGAAAATCGATAAAATTTTATGAAAAAATGTTTTATAAAGTATTCACATCTTGATAAGTTTAGCTTTAATTTGCAGATGTCTGGAGTGTTGAAGAGAGTGAGGATAAAAGATCAGTCCATTCCGTATTACAAGAAAAACCAGCGCCAGCGGAACCAGAACGACATGGAAATGACATTTCATGTGGTCAGTTTATCTTACAGACACAACAGGAACACATTGCACAAAAAATAATCTGTCATTACCTGTGTATTTATTTTGGCATACAGTATTACATGTTAAATATTGTGAGGAGTACTGTTTAAGCATACTAGGGTTACGTATTAAATATTTAATGAAGAATTAGCAGGACAACTTGATATTTGCTAATATACACAGAAGTCTTAATTGAATTTGATTTAAAACCATGAAAGTTATAACATGAATATCTAAATATATACATCACTTCAATGAATGTTGTTAACTGTAAATGATGCCACCTCAATATATTTGGACTCGTATCAAAGTGTAAGCTTGTGATCGGTTATGGTAGTTTTCTTTCACTAACAGGAGTTTGAACTGTGTAATGTGGGCAGAAAAAGCTTTGTCAAGCTCCAATGGATTGATTATTCTGTCACCACCAGATATCTGTGAGTTATTGAACATCTTGAGATTATTGTTAATTTTTGTAATTTCACTCTTCTTAACCAGAAGGACCTCTATACACTGTAATCTAAAGAGTTCTAATTCCGTGGAATTAAAAGTTACATTTATGTTCCTTAATATAAGATCTAAAATAAATGAATTTAAATCTACAGTGTATTATTACTCAATTTGTAATCTATTCAAGCATGCTTAACATTTTCTCAAAATTTTTCACTAAGTGTATAAAGCGTTCTTTGTAAAAGAAGTTTTATTTTATCTATCATCTGAAAAACTTTGTAGAATGACTCCTTCTCAAAATATTGTATGTTTTGTCACTATGACAATTTCTTAAAAGAAGATGGAAAGAAAAATTGAGGCAAAAAAAAAATTAAGTACATGTGTACCATTAGAGGGCAAAAAGTGAAAAAAAAAAATGCTGAAGATAAAAACTTTACAAAGGAAGCAGTGGTTTATCAAATTTAGAATAATATTCTTAGCACACTATCGTAGCATTCCTCCTGAAACACAATATTTGGGGGCAAAATTTGAATGCTTAATTTGAAGAAAAAAAATTGCATTAGAGTTATCTTTCTTTGCAGAGCATGACATCTCCTGAAACACATCTTTTATTACTCTCATACTTTATAGTGATGTATTCTGACCACTTAATTTTTTATTTGAAAAGCATACAATGCATTTATATGTAATATTGATAAAAAAAAAATTCATTTGAATTGTAAACTTTGATTTTCATTATTTGTTTGTTGGCTTCTTCAGGATGACTGGTCAAGAGAGCACATCCAGTCTGTTGGATGGAAAGGGTTATCCTCCCTTGATCTTCTCCCGTGTTAGGAGCTATACATCTACATCAGAAACCCCTCTACCGTAGTCCCTCTTACCAAAAAGTACATCCCCAATACAACGACACCCACATTATGTAACTGTTGGAAATCTGTCGTTATTAATGCAAGAATAAGCAAACTTACCATTATTTTGTTGAGTTGCTATGAATTTTGTTTCGATGCTCCATAAGGTTTTATATTTTGATTTGTTTTAATTGTTCTAACAGTATTTATACTGCACCACATATTTTGAAGTTTGTGATTTATGGAAGTGTTTTTTCCTTAGTTGAACTTTTAATCATTCCCTTAATCAAATGAGATACATGTATTAATTTTTGGGTAATGATGTATTTATTATTGATTTTGAGGATTGAAGGATTGATTTATACCACTTCTGAAATGCCATTTATTTTATGTGGGTTTTTTTTTTAATGCTATAAAACAGCTGATACATGTATTGTACTCTAGAGTATTTAGATTTAAGGTTTTTGTGCAATGTTTCATTGTCTTTGTGCCATGATTAAAATTATTTCTAGATTTGGTGATTTTAAGATTGAAAATGTCTCTGTGTCTTTTCTTGATATGACTGGTTCTGACAATGTGTACAATGTGACTGATTGTTTTCTCTAATTTGTATAAGTTATAAACCTTTATGGATATCACTGTCAGCCTTCCCTAGGCTCATTAGAGACATTTAAATTGTGTTAATTGTGAATTTGTTGTGATTAAACAGACCTACACACATAAACTCACACATATTAAAGCTGTGATTAGATACTGAGTTATAAAACACTGATTTTTTTAAGGTGGTGTTTGATTGTTTTACTCTTTAACCTTGTAGTCAAAGGTGCACCTGTACAGATATCTAGGATTTTAGTTTTTGTTTTTCCTTTTAGAGAAGCAGTAAGTATGAACAGCTATAGATAGCTATACAACAGTAGGTATGTATAGCTATAGATAGCTATACAACAGTAGGTAAGAACAGCTATAGATAGCTATACAACAGTAGGTATGAATAGCTATAGATAGCTATACAACAGTAGATTAGCAAATAGGATCATGTGATGACTGAAGAAATGATTTGTAAATTATTGGCGATTTATTGACACATTTAAAAATACTCAGCGTGTGAAATGATAACTCTGGGATTATTGGAGAAAGTACAATTTATTTTGACAAAAAAGAAACATATCAACAGTTTAACTTTCTGTCTTTTTTCAAAAGATTGTGAATTTTTTTTTAACCAAATTTTTTCCACTGTAGTATTTGTCAGTTATATTTGAATAAGAGACAATCCAAATTGAGGGATATATATATATATATATATATATATATATATATATATATATATATATATATATATATATATATATATATAAACATGTAAAATACACATGAAAAAATAGCTAACATACCACTGGATATATTATTTAATGTACCTTTTGAATGATTAAACCCTACTGAATACAAGCTGTTTTATTGTGTATTTCTCTGGTTATCTGATGTGTTCAACAGTTTGTTTATGGTGTCTGTCTTGTATGGAAACAAAACTGTTATTAAATGACTACAATGTCAAGAAGGTTTTGCTAAATACCATTTGATGGAGTGAATTTTGAGAAACTATTGCAGTTTCCTACACGAGAGAAGTATGGTACGAATATGGGCAAGGATCAGCTATTTGTTAATAATAACGGCCGTCACTTTTGAAATTGAAATTAAGAAGAATATATATTTTTTTGCAATTCAGAAAGTTGTATTTATACTTCTGTAATATAAAAGAGAAAGAATAAACAAATTAATCTTTTTATTTTAAGAAATAAAATTAATATTACCAAATTTGTGTAAACTTTTGCGCATGCTTATAAGAGATTTTCCAACCTATGTGTCAAAAATGCAATTTTTAAAAAATAACTTTAATAATACTTTTTTTAATAACTATATTCTGAAAGATAAATGTTTACTTTACAATTATAGATAAAAAATAATTACAATTGTTTATCATTAGCCCGAGAAAAATAGCCTTGAAATTGCATAACGGACGTTATGAGTGTCGGTCAACATGATGGGTTGACTTTAAACATTGAAATATATGTAACTGTAAAGAAAATATACGAATATTTTAAGTTAGGTTTAACTTAAAAGTATACTCAACAGGTGCTTTCCCATAAAGTCTGTGTAAAGGATTCAAATATTAAATTATCGCAAATTTATCAAAGGTACACAAGTGTCGGTCAAATTCGTAACGTCCGTAATCTAGGGCGTAAAATGGCTTGCAAATACGGAATATAGAATCAGTTCGATTTTTTCTATTAGTTTTAATACGTCACCAAAAGCGGCATTTTAGCACCAGCCTAAGCACCATCTCCATAACGCATGCGCAAATTAAAGGCCTAAGTGGGTCGTGCGACATGCGCACTTCCTTCTTTCTGTTTTGAAATACATTCAAACGAACAGGTATTTTTTGTTAATTTGTTATATTAATGATAAAGCGGCTATTGTCGAGATAAAGTAACGAAAATGTTTGAGAATATAATAAGATACAAAACTTCTGTACTTTTCTTTGGAATTTGAAGGGAAAAAATAGGCGTTAGCCTTTTTGTTACCGTTTCTATATAAGACCTACAATTTTGGGTAGCCGGGACCGGCCACTAGCACACCCCATAATTTACCAAAAATATAAAATTAGTCGTAAACTAGGAATAACTGGGGTTTTGACGAAATATTTAGACTTTGCATAAGCATTTTGCATGTATCACACTGAATTGTATGGGCCTGATATGTCTGTATACATAATAGGGGGATGTGTAATGTACACTACTCAAGAAATGTCTGTATTGTAGATCGGAATCAGTTTGTCGTGGTATTAGGAAAAGAATGGCCAATGCAAGTAAGTTTATATTTTTTATCTATTCAACCTATATACTAGGACCATAGTGGCATACAAACCTAAAATTTTCATTAGGCCTAGCAGTAGCACTATACAAGCCTTTTTCTTGCAATCACTGCTTATATTGTCCAAATAAAGGTAACCTTATAAACCAATTCTATATTTGTCAATGCAAAAGCACACATATCAATGCCAGTGCATTCCCACATCTAGGCTTAAAAGCATAAGGACATATAAGGAAGTAATATTATTTATGCCATGGTATCATAGATTCTACTATACAAGTGATCCAAACACTCATATATATACTTATTACACTAGCGCCACACATATACAGCATTTATAACACTAGTACCACACATTTACAGCCTTTATTACACTAGTACCATGCATATACCGCCTTTATAACACTAGCACCACAAATATACAGACTATTACACTAGCACCACACATATACAGACTTTATTACACTAGCACCACACATATCTAACCTCCAAACCACTAGCACCATACATATACAACCTTCATAACAACTAGCACCACACATATACAGCCTTTATAACACTAGCACCACAAATATATAGGTTTTATTACACTAACACCACACATATCTAACCTCTATAACACTAGCACCAAACATCTTTAACCTCTATAACACTAGCACCACACATATACAACCTTTGTTCACTAGCACCACACATATATAACCTCTACAACACTAGCACCACACAGATATATGCAACCTTTGTTACACTAGCACCACACATATACAGTCTTTATAACACTAGCACCACACATATATTGCCTCTATAAAACTAGCATCATACATATCTAACCTCTATAACACTAGCACCACCTATGTCTCCCCTCTATAACACTAGCACCACACATATCTAACCTCTATAACACTAGCACCATACATATACAGCCTCTATAACACTAGCACCACACATATTTCTCCTATATAACACTAGCACCACACATATCTAAACTCTATGACACTAGTGCCACACATATATACAGCCTTTATTTAATTAGCACCATGCATATCTAAGCTCTATAACACTAGCACCACATATATACAGCCTTTTTAACACTAGCACCACACATATACACTATAACACTAGTACCACACATACAAAACCTTTATAACACTAGCACGATACATATACAGCCTCCATAACACTAGCACCACACATATTCAGCCTTTATAACACTAGCACCACACATATCTAACCTCTGTAACACTAGCACCACACATATCTAACCTCTATAACACTAGCACCACACATATACAGCCTGTATAACACTAGCACCACTCATATACAGCCTTTATAACACTAGCACCCAGGGTTCGACACTAACTTTTTTACCTTGGTTGACCGCAGGTCCACTTGTCAAATATTATTGGTGGACCTTCTCAAATTCTGGTGGACCTTCATAAATGTTTAAATTTGTTACACAAGGCTTGAAACTAACTGATGTACCCAATCCAGTCAAACTTATAAAGTATAAGTTTAACCAGTCAACTGAAACAAATCAATTAGTCAGGAGGTTTTGAGCAATATTCTTTAATATATTTTCTGATCATATTTTAAAAAAAAGAACACAATCTATAGCTTTAAACAATTTGTTATTTTACAATGGTAAAAACCAGCATTTATTTTGCTTCCAACGGTAGATGAATTTTAAAATCCCAATAATTAAGTTGTACATATAAACAAGTGAATTTTTCATGTATCTATGGCTAGAACAATTTTTTACTATGATGCAAAACAACAAAAGTGTATGTATTTATTTTTTTATTATTATTATTTATTCAAATGAACTGCAATCATTTGATTCTTTTCTGTGATTTAATGTATAGCAGAAAAAAAAGAAACTGCAGAAAACGTGTTCATAAAATATAAATCATGCCTGTTTGAAGATCTAAAAAAATAAACAATGCATAAATGCAGCTGTCAATCAATTCTAATTATCTCCAAACCTGGCCATCAGTGTGCGTTCAGGCGTGAAGTGATTTCCTGTTACCCAGTGTACATTTTCACACCTTTCTGTGCATTAAATAAACAAAGGCCAGACGGACTGGCACGAATTTTACATGCTTCTTTTTCAAAGTCCGTGTTGAATGTTCTTGCGTCTCAATGTTATTGTTATTGTAGTCATCAATATTACATGTAAGATATATATTCAGCTAAATATTTAGCTAAAACAAATTTTACCGCTTATTTATTGTAAAATACAAGTATGGATGAATTAATCGTTTGATTTACAGATGTCGATTTATAGAAGGAAAAAACCCCGGAATTTTACTGTGTATTTTTCAATACGGTGTTTAAATTTTAAGTGGACCGATGGTCCACCTAGTCCAGAACATTTGGTGGACCTTCCAATTTTTTGGTGGACTCGGGCCGCCGGTCCACCGTTAGTGTCGAACCCTGGCACCACACACATACAGCTTTTATAACACTAGCACCACACATATAGAGGCTTTATTACACTAGCACCACACTTATCTAACTTCTGTAACACTAGCACCACACATATACAGCCTTTATTACACTAGCACCACACATATACAGCCTTTATAACACTAGCACCACACACATACAGCCTTTATAACACTAGCACCACACATATACAGCCTGTATAACACAAGCACCATACATATACAGCCTTTATAACACTAGCACCACACATATACAGCCTTTATAACACTAGCACCACACATATACAGCCTTTATAACACTAGCACCACACATATACAGGCTTTATTTCACTAGCACCACACTTATCTAACTTCTGTAACACTAGCACCATACATATACAGCCTGTATAACACTAGCACCACACAAATACAGCCTTTATTACACTAGCACCACACATATACAGCCTTAATTACATAAGCACCACACATATACAGCCTTTATAACACTAGCACCACACATATACAGGCTTTATTACACTAGCACCACACATATACAGTCTTTATTACACTAGCACCACACATATACAGGCTTTATTACACTAGCACCACACATATACAGCCTTTATAACACTAGCACCACACACATACAGCCTTTATAACACTAGCACCACACATATACAGGCTTTATTACACTAGCACCACACTTATCTAACCTCTGTAACACTAGCACCATACATATACAGCCTGTATAACACTAGCACCACACATATACAGCATTTATAAAACTAGCACCACACAAATACAGCCTTTATTACACTAGCACCACACATATACAGCCTTTATTACACTAGCACCACTCATATACAGCCTTTATAACACTAGCACCACACATAAACAGCCTTTATAACACTAGCACTACACATATACAGCATTTATAACACTAGCACCACACATATACAGGCTTTATTACACTAGCACCACACTTATCTAACCTCTGTAACACTAGCACCATACATATACAGCCTGTATAACACTAGCACCACACATATACAGCATTTATAACACTAGCACCACACAAATACAGCCTTTATTACACTAGCACCACACATATACAGCCTTTATAACACTAGCACCACTCATATACAGCCTTTATAACACTAGCACCACACATAAACAGCCTTTATAACACTAGCACCACACATAAACAGCCTTTATAACACTAGCACCACACATATACAGCATTTATAACACTAGCACCACACATATACAGGCTTTATTACACTAGCACCACACTTATCTAACCTCTGTAACACTAGCACCATACATATACAGCCTGTATAACACTAGCACCACACATATCTCACCTCTATGACACTAGCACCACACTTATCTAACCTCTGTAACACTAGCACCATACATATACAGCCTTTATAACACTAGCACCACACACCCTTTATAACACTAGCACCACACATATACAGGCTTTATTACACTAGCACCACACATATACAGGCTTTACAACACTAGCAAATATACACATATACAGGCTTTACAACACAGATATACAGCCTTTATAACACTAGTACCACACATATATAGTCTTTATAACACTAGCACCATCCATATACAAACTCAGTTTAACACTAGCACAATGCATATACAGCCTTTGTAACATTATGCTTTGCTTTACCATTATGCTTTGTATGTATTTTGATAAAGAGGAGACCTTTATTATTCCCCGCTGGAACAAAAATGTTCAAGTTTAAAGCTTTTTCAATTTATTTGTTTATGCTTAGATAATGTAATGATTCCTATATACATGATATAATCAACAACAATTATTTGTGCACCCTTACACAGGTTATTGAATTATATAAATATATCTATTTTTATTTTAATTAGGTTTAACCAAAGTAAATGAGCAGTACTGGGCTTCAGTTCAGGGCAAGGTAATGCCAGCATAGTTGTCATATACCATTCCTAACAAGTTTAAAAATTTTAATTGGCCTTTATCTTGTACATTATTTCATTATCTAACATAATTTACAAAGGAAATATAAATTATATAATCATAAAATTGTAGAATGTGAATTTTTTCATCACTGGGGGCATAGTGTTTTTTTATAAACTTACATCTAGAAATTTTTTATATCAAAATCACCATAAGTATCATAAAGATTAAAAAAAGAGTATCATAACTACTAACTACTGTTTTAGGTTAAAGATTGGATTCAAAAAACTGATGCCACTGTATTAGTATTATACATACCGCAGCCAACAAAGCGGAATCCCATCCCTACTTTAAAGTTTGAAGGTAGGTTTTCAAGAATTGTCATGGCATATTTCAAGATTTTTTCATGATAAAATATGACATAAGAGTCTGTAATGCTTTTATTCTTTGATACTGTCTAAATATTAGGTCTTTTAATTTATATTACCGTAGATAAAAAATGTATCCGGTAAATACCCATAAATAAGCATTTTTTGATGATTGACGAAATAAACTGCTTGAGTTTATTTTATTTATTTTTATACATTTTTTTGATGTACAGGTATTACATTTTACTGGAAATGCATGTACATTTGCTTAAACATGCTGACTTTATAGGGTCAAGAAAGCTGAAAGCTGTGGTTGAGTCAGAAGAAGTAAGGATTGCCATCAGCACTGCTTGCAGTGGTCCTCCCCCTCCTGTGAAATCAATTAAAGATGGTAAATATTACATGCACAAAATGATATTCTCCCATGAGGAATGGTATTCATTGAATAAGAATAGAAGAACAGTTTTTTAATGTTTAAAATAAAAACATAAAAATTCTGTGACAGGAATGAAAAAAAAATGGATAAGCTTTTTATCCAACTATTTTTGCATTTTTTATGGATGAAAATTATATCCAACCACAAACTGAGAGAGATTTTTTTTTTTTTGAATAGAGTTTTTATCAAATGCCACTTCAGTATGACAAAATTGTTAGTGATTTTATGTTCTTAAATTCAGAAATGGAGAACATCATTCAACCCTGGACCATGCAAGTAAAGAGGTGTATAATCTCTAACTTGGTTAGGCAGTACAGTAAGTAAAAAAAGATTCCTTTGTAGAGTTGTGTATATATATATGTGTAAGATATAAATAACTATAAACATTTTGTAAGAAATACTTTTGTATAACTAGAGGTAATGGACAATATTTTATATGAATGTTGTATGAATTTTATATTTATTTTATAATCTGTTTTTATATCAGTTTTAATTTTTTGTTTTATTAACTTTAAAACTTCTTTATAGTGGAATTGAAGTATGGTAGAAAGAGGGACATTTGGGGTTATCCTTCCCTTAAACCAGATGCTAGTGCATTAAGGCAACACCCATCAGCCACGCAAAACTCAATTTATAGGACCCGACACAGTGCTGCGACTTATCTTATTTCTATTTCATACTGACATCGTTTTGAATGAGTAATTAATTATTGACTGTATTATTATGACAGCAAAGTGTTTCGGCGGTTTGATATCGTACTGGTGTATTAAAAATCAAAATCACGGCCCCGCCTTCCTCAGGGATCCAACCGTAATTTCTATTGTGGCAAAATAGCTTTTGTAAGCAAATCACCAATACTTTTATGTTTAGCATATGCAATCATTGGTTTTGTTTGAAAGATTTCTTTGCATTTTTCATCTTTTAAAACTAATGACCAGTATTTTAATAATTTGGATTTCAGACCTTTGATTCTTGGGTCATACTTTGTAATTAGAACCATAGGTATTTCCTTTGTTTTCTTGGTTTTATGTAACGTTATGACTCTGTTTACAGCTAAGGATTCATTAATAATTGGGTCAATCTCAATTCTCTTGTATTCTCTGTTTAAAAGGTGTGATCTGAACTCAAGAAGTTCGTTGTGCAATATTTCCTTGTCACTTGTATTGCGTACATGTCTTATACATTCCCCCTTAATAAAGCCTTTAAAAACTGCTTTAGGGTGAGCGCTGTGGCGGTGCAAATATTGGAATGTATTTGTTGGTTTAATATATGACTTAACGTCAAGAATATGAAATTCCTTGAAACGGTTTCCTTTGTATACATATGTGTCCAGAAATGGTAGTGATGCTTCCGATATTTCATAGGTAAATTTCAATAAAGGATGACATTCATTTGCTATTTCGAAAAAGCGAATAATTTCGTTTTTCGGGCCCTCATAAATCATAAATCCGTCATCACGGAATCGCCCATGGAAGCAAATTTTGTGTTTGTATTCATAGTTGTTTACTAGCATTTCAGTTATTTGATATACTCTTAGGTCCGATATTTCTGGACTACTTGGGCTTCCCATTGGACACCCGATTGTTTGTTTGTAATATTTGCCATTGAATTCAAATAACGTGGTTTCGAGAATGCACTTTAGTAAAAACATCAAGTCAGCTGTGTCAGGACAAGGAATGTCTGAATGCAAGCTGCAGTTGAAATTCGATAATGCTTCTTCTACCGCCACTAAGAGTTCATTGAAGGTCATATTCGTATACATTGATGTTATATCGTAAGTGATGAGTAAACAGTTCCTTGGCGGCTTGATACTTTCAATTTTGTTGATGAAATCTTTAGTATCTTTGATATAAGTTTTCTGAGATTGAACGATTGGTAGTAGGAAATAATCGACGTAATGACTTATTCTCTCCGTTGGCGACCCTATTTGTGATATGATGGGTCTACATTTTGGCAATGTATTGTCATTTGCCCCCATTTTATTTATTTTAGGCAATAAATAAAGTCGTCCTGGTCGTAGATTTTGTTCGTTTGTTTTTGTAAGGTAGGAAAATGTTTGTTTATCTATTTTTCTTTTTTGGAACATTTCGTCTATCTTGTCCTGTATAGTTTTATAGATTAAGGACAAATTAGGTTTTTCAATTTCAGTATAATACTGTGTTGTTAATTGACGCAGACCTTCTTCAATGTATTGTTTTTTGTCCATTATCACTACAGTGTTACTTTTGTCTGCTTTTTTGATAACGATGTCTTTATTGTTCAGTAGGTCATAAAGTGCCCTCCGTTCGGAAGGTGATAAATTAGAAACATTTGATTTGATATGAATAGATGACAATTCTAATTGTGTTAGAGCAATATAGTTTTCCAGTGCTTGGCATGTATAGCTAGGTATAAAGCCTGTATTTTCTCGAAAAGGATGTAAACGTGCATTTTCATCTGTGCTAAAATGATATTTGCATTTCAGTTTTCTTGCAAATTCTAGAAAATCTTTCATGACTTTGTTTTTGACGTTTTTTGTTTTTGGAGTTGGAATATATTTTAATCCCTTTGATAATAGCAATGTTTCACTTTCTGTAAGTGAATGATTGGAGATGTTCAGTACATAGCTTTGAGCTTTTCTCACTTTGGCCGAAAATTGGCGCTTTTTACGAGAGGAAGAATTTCCTGCTCTTTTTTTGTCTTTTTGCTATATTGGCGAGCTTATTAAAGCGTCGAGCCATTTTGCGTACAACAGAATAAATGACTAGGTGATTCATATGCGGCTTATAAACTAAAATACTACTTGGTTACACCCAAAAGGCATTTCATTGGTTAAAGAGATTTCTTACCAGTGTGTAACGGAAGACGGATAACTCCAGTTTGTGTAGCATAATTCAACGATTTAATTGCATAAAAATACACCAAAAATATGATTTTGGTACACTGCTGGTTCAAATAACATTTCATAATCAAACAGTAGTTAGTAAGGTTTATAGTAACGACCTCTTCCCCTTGGAAAATTTCTTGTAACACCTCGACCACATCTGTTCACGTTGCGAATGTTTCTTGAAGAGGATTCTTTGATGAATTTCGTGAAATTTTCGATTTCAAGAAAACATTTACTTTTCTCTTCGTTAATGAACTGGTCGATTTCTTTTTTGGTTTCTGCCGCACTGCCCAGACTTTCAAATGCATATTTTCTGCAAGATTTCATTGAAGTTTCCTTGTCTTGCACTTCGGTATTAAGATATACCATTAACTGTGCAAGTAGATCACTAGTCATTGGTTTTGTTAGATTTCTCCACTGAGTTTGAAATTTTTCTTTGTCCATTGCATTGGTGAGTTTAAGAGTGCATTTTAAACTGATTGAGAGCCATGGCGGACTGCTACCCGACTGTAGATAGAGATTAAAGCTTTCTTTTATCTTTGCTAATTCGTTTCTTTCCGTCATTAGAGTCTTGATTTCAACTTTGCAGGACTTAGCCACGTTTTGCTGGTCATTACTTCTGTTCAGGTCATTAGGGTCGGTGGATTTAAGAGAAAAATCCATTTCATCATCTTGTTTTAGTCCTTCTTGATTAAGGCAAAACTCCATATCATCATCTTTGACTCTAGTGTTATGAATATTATTCTCGGCCATAGCACTCTGATAACTTTTCTTCTTGAGTGAGAGTTTGCTATTAGTTCTTGGCATTTTGTAAAACTATTTTCTTTAAGATTCAACATAACTTGTCGTAATATAGGATGACAATTTCCGGTTAGGTGATTATCACCTATTCAAATTAAATAGGTGATATCACCAATTCAAATAGGTAATATCACCTATTCGAATAGGTGATATCACTTAATTATTTTAAATAGGTGATATTACTTATTCGAATAGGTGATATCACCTATTCAAATTATTTATGAAATAACAAAAGCTCCCAAGACTATAGTCTTTAATTCTCATTTACTTTCACTTTTGTTTTATAACTTAGTGTTGTTGGAGACAATGGATAACAGCTTTGCATTTAGTATTTAGCACCCCAGTAAAACTTGTAGTTTGTTTTGCTCACAAATTATATTCATTACACTTATCTATCATGTATACTATAGGAAAAATCATGAAAAACACATAACAACTGTTCCATACAGAAAATACCCCACTTTACATTATAAAGAGAGAAAGGTATGTCACTCTGTTGTACCCCAGCTTGGTATAATTTATAAAATTTATTTAACTTTACAGGGGTCGATAACATAAGGTATTTAAAATGTCTCAAACTCAAATACAGGGGAAAACTGAGCAGCCCAAATTAGCTAGGTTCCAATGGAAATCTAGATAGTCTTGAGGAAGGGAGCATTCATATTTTATTGTTGTAAGATATGCATATAGGTGATATCACCTATTCGAATTGGTGATATCACCTATTCAAATCGAATAGGTGATATCACCTATTTGAATAGATATAGGTGATATCACCTATTCAGCACGAATAGGTGATATCACCTATTCGAATAGGTGATATCACCTATTCATTTCCAATAGGTGATATCACCTATTTGAATAAGTGATATTACCTATCTGAATAAGTGATATCACCTATTCAATTTGAATGAGTGATATCACTTGTTCAAATAGGTGATATCACCTATTCGTATAGCTGATATCACTTAATGGCAATAAATACCAAAACGGCGCCTCATACAGTCCCCATGCTGGAGCAACTTGGTCGAAAATTTATTATATTTCATTTATAATACACTAAATGCTAAATATCTTACCTTAGTTACAAATCAGTTTTTTTCTGCTTGTGGTATGCAACTTCCTGGTGAAACCAACATCATGAACAGGGCATTAACATGCAAACTGAGATACATGGGTAGATCATCAATCCCTTCCCTTTTTCATAAAAATATAAATCTTAATTATATATGTCAGTAGTGAATTGTAAACATAAATATGGGTTGGTAGAAAACTGTAAGCAAACAATATATCATTTTAGGTCTGATTGTGAAATGAGACGCTAGAAAAAAGGTGCTTGAAGAATTATGCTTCATGCTGGAGAATATTTACAGGGAAATTTCAGGGCATTTAGTCCCCACGCTGGAGCAATTTGGTCGAAAATTTATTATATTTCATTTATAATATACTACATGCTTAATATCTTACCTTAGTTATGAATCAGTTTTTTTTCTGCTTGTGGTATGCAACTTCCCGATGCAACTTCCCGGTGAAACCAACATCATGAACAGAGCATTAATGTGCAAATTGAGATACACGGGTCATCAATCCCTTCCTTTTCCATAAAATAAAAAGCTTAATAAATATATATCAGTGGTGAATTTGCGATATAAAGATATACGGATGCATCCACCCCTTTCTCTTTCTTGTTAGATTTAAAAGTTAGTAAGAAGAAAATTGGCACAGTGAAAATGAAAGTAGAAGGTAAACAGAACTTTGGCGCATGCGCTATGGAGATGGTGCTTAGGCTGGTGCTAAAATGCACAGTTATACTACTATATTAACATTTCCAATGTCTTTGTCCGAGATAAAATTACAAACTGTAAAAATACTTTATTTCTATATAAATCTACTGGTTCATCGAGAGGCGCGGTTAAAAAAATCACGTGCGGGGCGGGACAAATAGAGACAGAAGCGGGACTATTAGCACGGGAATTTGCAGAATCAGGAGCATGTAAATATAAGGAATAACTGTCAGATTTTTTGGATTCATGACGATGATCAATCGATTGGCTTGCGTGATAATTTTATGCATAAACGCCTTTTATGCAAATTATCACACAAGCCACTCGATTGATCACATCATGAATCCAAAAAATTAGACAGTTATTCCTTAAATAATACCTCCAAAAGCGACCATGATGAAAAAAGGAGGCAAAGTGGGTGAGTTTGTACTGTCGGTCAATATTTCTTAGTTGATAACAGGCGTCACGCTAATAACTAAATAAGATTTATATAATATTTCTTGATAAAATGGACAAACCATGTTCTCCAATGTGTTGAAATCTTTTATTATTATTGTTTGACACAAAAGTTTAAGCATTTTTTTTTATAATTATTACGATCATAGAGTTCGGCAGTTATATTTTGACTAACATAAAATATACGGATGTGACAGTTTGACAGAAAACAATGTCAAACCTTAACTTCAGAAGCACAATGATTCGATATGTAACATAGAAATTTTAAGGACATATTATTTGCTGTTTTGGTTATAAAAAAAAACTCATTTATTTTCTTTTCAGATACCATGCTACCAGCTCCTTATTGATTTTCTTGGCTGATTGCCTGTTATGATTTGACCATAGACCTTTTTAATAATATATGCAGACATGCGCAGAAGTACTTCCGAGTGGAAAAATCACGACTCGTTCTGTGCAACATTCTACGCTTCATTTTCGTCAAAAGTGTTTTATAAACATCGTCGTATATTTTTGTTGAATTGATATTTACTTATTAAACTGAATAAAATTGGTTTGAAATATGTTTTATTTTATTTATTTCAATTCATGTACGAGTGACAAACATTTCCTGTTTATCGTTACCTTGTTTACATTGGCAACGAGTTACAACAGTATGGCGACCCGCGAAAACTTAAAGAAAACAAACGTAAGTGTTTTGCGTAGCATAGCAGCTGATCTGGGGATAAATTCAAAGAGAAAGAAGGATGATCTTATATGTGACATACTATCTAGTCAAACACCAGCAGCTTTAATAACTCCAGTTGTGCAATTGTCATCTTGCATTAATCCAACTGACGTGCAGTTTAAGGAAAACTTGCCCCCTTTCAATGCAGTCCATTATCAGTCAATATCGGAGGATCTTAAACCTCCGAGTATATCATTCTCTATGGTATATGAATTCATGATAACAAGGCGAAGGCAGGAAGGTGATCAATGCATCCAAAACTTCAAGGGTTTAGACAAGTCCGTGAAGCATTTTGATGCCGGGGATGTCCAGAATATGTGTATTGCACGAGTAAGTTAATAATATTATGCAAACCTAGTCTTTATAAAGAAATTTTAACTACAGACATTTATGAATTACATATAGATGTTTCTAGGTCAGTTAAGATAAATATTCAGCACTTTGAGAGAGAGTGTATTTGACAAACACACATACATAGCTGATTTATTCTAATCTGATGCATGGCCGTAGGAACCGGGAGAGGGGGGTTGCTCCCACAATGATTTTGCCAATACATAGAATATATAGAAAACATAGCTACTACATGCTTGTGCCCCCTCAATAAAAACGTCTGATGACAATTTTTTTTTTTTTTGCTTGTCAAGGAATTTTTGGTAGTTGATAGTGTCCCCCATTTAAAAATGTATGGCTGTGCCCCCCCCCCCCCAAACTGAAATTGCTTCCTACCGGCCTGTGACGAAATGATGAGATCATTTGATTCTGAGAAGGAAAAATTTTGGAAATATTTCTTACATATGAAAATTTCCAAAAAATAATTTGTCCTCCACTGTTAAGGAAATACCTTGATTGATACAACACTTTGTCCTGTAAAGGCATAAAAAAATAACCTTTGGCTAATTGAACACTTGAACCCCCCCCCCCCCCCCCCCCCCCCGATTACATGGCTATCCTTATGTAAACATTGGAAATACATAATACACATGTTATTAAATAGTTTTGAAATTTGATTTCATTTAAATGAACTAATTCATTTTCTGATTTGTTCTGAATACAAGCCCTCAGATTGCTTTGATCCCACTGACATATTGGAGTATATAATGAAAAAAAAAATTTAACCATCAATATATCAGTAGAAGCTTCTGTAGACCTGTGGTTCTGACACAAAATTTACATTTTCCATGAGTAATTTACTACCAATATTATGAATTAGAAGAAAAAATTAGGAATTGGAAATAAAGAAAAATGATATCCGTACTCAACTTTCAGAAAGAATCTTGATGTCATTTTTCAAAAAATGACAATATAATTAAAATAAAATTTTTACTAAAATTTCAGATTGATGAATCTACAGTGTACATTAAAGCATTTTGCTTAGCATCAATGAAAAAACAGCGTTACCAGGTTTTTTTGTGCATAAGTAATTCTGATGGAACGAACAGGGTGGACTTTGCTTACTGTCAATGCCCCATAGGGTAAGTATTACACAGTTCTTATCTTCAAAATAACAGATGAAATCCAATTTTTCATTTTATATTATTCTAATAATATGTTGTTATATATGTGTTCATATTTTCTGTAAATTACATATACAGGTTAGCTCAAGCATGCAGTCATATTGGGGGGCTGCTCTTCACCATATGCAATATGCAATCCACTACAAAAGCACCTTTGCAAGGAGAACAGAGTTGTACATCAACACTCTGTCAATGGAAAGTGCCACGAACAATGAACCAGAAACCAAAGCCTATAAGCAACCTTAACCTTTCAAGGCCCAAGGCAATGGCAAGCAGTGATACTGATGATGATGTAGCCAGGTTATCATCACCATCACATGGTTCAGCAATGGCCAGGTTCGACCCTCGTCATTCTGAGGACAAACATCATAGCCTTGCTTGGTCTCTGGATCAACTTGGGGAACTAAGAGCTTGTTTCCCTCATACAGGTTTACAAATATTTGTAAATTGCCTTTTTTAATGTTTTTGAAGTACAAAAAAGAAAATTGAATAAAAAAAAAATATCTCACTGCAATGAAATAAAAATTTTTCTTTTAATATTATAAATAATTTTAAGTAAATATCATACTCAAACTGAAAGCAGTGTATATAATATTATGAGGTAAATACATTAAAAGATACAAATATAATTTTAAATAATTTTTGAATAGGTAAAAGATGTATAATATATCTTAAAATTCAATAAATGATTAGAGGAGTAAAGTATTTAGCATTTTATGCAGTGATTCAATAATAAAATCTTTGTTGTCTAGGTATGGCTCATCTCTGGAATATTCCAGACTCCAATGTACCTAGTTCTGTGGAAGTTGAAGTGGAAGTTGAGACATCTGTGCACCCATTGTACCTGAAAATGGAAAAGATGCTGTTATCAGATGAGAACTGTGAGTTGAAAATAAAATTTTGAATTTTGATCCTATATGTCTAAAACCTAAACATAGACCAATTAGCAAAAATATAGATAAAACACGATTATAATTATCTCAATCTAATTAGATCTTCCATCCACTCCCCATTTTATCTATACATTGCTTCCCTGTGATGTTGCAGATGGAAAATTAATTTTAATTAGATTGATTATTAACTGTAATGTATCTTAATAATTTTAATGAATGCATGTATAATTCTACTAACTTTTTTTATTTGTTATAAAATAAAAACATATCTTTTATGTACTCTTTTCTCATTTCCAACAGTACCACCACCTATGATAGATGAAGAGCTAGTGAACTTTATAGAGGAGAAGACAAGAGGACAGAGACTTTGTGAGATGTGGAGAGCTCTCCACCTTGGGAGAATTACAAGTTCTATGTTTGGTGATGTGCTACTAGCAAGAGAAACCCCAGCAAAATCTCTCGTCAATCAGATCTTACATGGATCAAATCTTGACAAGTAATATTCCTTTTAAAAAATTATAAAGTAATTAATTATTTGCACATAGTGTTTTTTTTTTTTTTTTTTTTTTTTTTTTTTTTTTTTTTGCAAATAAATCTTGCATTAATTATTTTTCATAAATGTAAATAGTAATATTACTAAATGTAAACAATCATTACAATGAATGATTGTAGGAATACTGAAAGTGCATTAATGTTACAATAGCTGGAGTTATTTCCCTTATGTACATGTTATTTTGTAATATGAACCTAGTATGTAGATTAGTCAATATATATGTCACAGCCGTATTTTATTTGTTACTCCTTTTTAATAATAATAACAATGAAAACAGCTGTTGGGTTCGATGCATATATTTTTCAATTTCATGGTAAGACTGAAAAGGTGACCTGTAACAATAACAGTAATGAAAATAAATGAATACACTCTCATACCTATACACTCACACATTAAATTACTTTAATATATTTTAACTTTTCCAATGTAATTATCTTTAAGTAGATAATTATTTGATAAGATATTTAATTTATTCAAAGCAACGGTGGTAAAAGTTCTTACCAAATAGGCAGTTAAATTGTCCACATTATAAAATGATAGACTTTGTGGAGTAAGAGAGGAATTCTTCCTTACTCCTGGCTGTCCTAGGGTGGAGTGAATTAGTTAGGGTATTTGGCGCCAAGCATGGGCACACAATACCAAACTAGTAAAACCACTCACACACTTCTCACTCTAAAATATCAACCAATCACACAACTTCAACCCTCACCCATTCTGACACAAACACATTTGACCTTTCACACTCCTAAATCCACCAATGAGCATTCAACCCCATGAATATGAATGAGATATTTTATGAATGAACACATAGTAAATTCCAGAGGACTGTAATTTACTATGCTTTATAGATGAAAATGATGATGATGATTAGTGATTAGGTCATTAAATATTCAATCATACATATAATATTTATCAGAATAATAATTTATTCACCCTGTGACATATATACAGGATACCTTATCCTTTCTATTACTCTTAATTTAAAATATTTCAGATATACAGCACTACCACCACCAGTCCAGTGGGGGATAGATCATGAAGCAGAGGCCAGAAAAGATTACCTTACCATTAAAAGGGCCATAAATGAAAATACAGATGTACATCCTACAGGGATCACCTTGTATTCAACACACTCATTCCTTGGAGCCTCAAGCGATGGGAAGGTAATTGAAAATGGAGACATGGGATTACTGGAAATAAAGTGTCCCTTTTCGATTAAGGGTTACAATATTACCCAGTGCGAAATATCAGAAATCTTGGAACTGAATGATCGACACTTTTGTCTTGAGATGTCATCTTCAGGGCCAACTTTGAGAAAATCTCACAAATTTTATGCACAAGTGCAGGGAGAAATGGCAATCAAGAGTGTACCTTGGGTGGATTTTGTTGTGTGGACTGCAGCTAAAGCAAACAACATTTTTATAGAAAGAATTCTCTTTGATGAGCTATTTGTTACATCTATGATGCCAAAATTAGTTAAATTTTACATGGAGCAAATTTATCCATTATTATACAAGTGTTGAAATTTCTCTAGTGATGCAATGCAGTTCTTTGAAGCAAAGGCTGTATGAGATTAATGCTGTACGTGTGCATAAATAGGCGTAATCAAAATTTAACGCAATTACTAGGTGAGTTGTTGGCATATTCATGAATTAGCGCTACACTCTTAAGCATTGTATATTGTATTTGTAAATGATTTCTTAGTGGTATTCATAAATTAGCGCATCGTTGTCTGCACCAAAGCCACTTTAAATATAAAGCCTGCTTTTTTAAGAACACATACAGTATTAGATGAATTGACTCTAGTTCTATTGCACTTTATAGTGTATCAGTCTAAGTACACAGCTACAAATTTACAATTATTTATCTGTGGAAATTAAAGTGTTGGATATTTGTGATTATTTTTTAAAAGCAGAAGGTTGAATCAGGGAATAACTATCTTCTAATTTGGTATTTCGCAAATACCAAATTAAAAGATAGTTATTCCCATTCTAATGCAATATATGCATTTTGTTTGATGTTCATGTCTTATTTTGTTGAGTTTTGTTATATAAAATACGTCATAGAGCATTGTGTTTTTGCGTCACTCTATTATGACGCCACAATGAATAGCTTTCATTCTCATTTATGCTCATTTTACTGCCTCAGATGTCAGTGTATTACCCAATCAAAATGTGTTTTACAAAACAATTGCATTAGAATTTTTTTTTATTTGTGAAAATATTCTTGTAGCATAATATGTGATATGAATTGCAAGACGACAGCTCTGATTAAGTATTTTGTATATTGTGTACTGTATTAATTACTAGGAATATTTTAAGTACATAATTACTTAATAATATTCAATATGGAATGAATTCATAAAAATCAAAACAAGAATTTAAATGTCTTACTTAGAGAGTTATGATTCATCAGTGGAAATCTTTTTCCCATCAACAAGCGGATAATCTAGATTGGTCAGCCAACAGCAGACTTGGAAAATCTTCGTGATGAAGTGGACCATTGTAAGGGGGATCACTCCTTCTAAGACATGAAAGTTCTTCACACGCCCAATGCTCCTTTCAACATGAATCCGAAGTTGGGCAATCTCCTGGGTCTTGAAGACTTCATCTGTTGAAAACTGGTTAGAAGTGCCTAGAATACAATATTAAGAAAATTATTTAAGCTAGTTACCATGCAATGTTTTCCTGATTTATCTTTAAAAAAAAAAGAAAAGAAACAACAAACAAACAAATCTAACCATTTGCACATAGATTGAGTTGATTGGGTGGGAGGGGGTGAGGTTAAGATCTGGCATTAAAGGACGACTAAAAGATTTTATTTTAACTTAAAATTCTTATCAGCAAAAAGAAATCCTAATTTTTTAACTCTCGTGAGATAAAAATAAACAACAAACAGCTGAATGTTTACAACTTTACACTTCATTTAATACCTCGGAATGGTGGAATGTTTAAGGAACATTGTCTTTTTTCAAGTAAGTCAGCTATGGTGAAGCCTTTGTCTGCCATTACACTGTCACTAGGCTCAAGTAACTGAAGTAGGCCACATTCCTCAGTTAGCTGACGGTCTGAAGTTTTTCCTGGCCATGCATCAGAAACAAAAGTAATTACTCCAGATGGACTAATACCGACTAGAAATTTAACAGTAGTATGATGCTTGTAGTTAGAAAATGTTAGGCTTTGATTTATTAGGCTACTTGATGATTGAATGAAAAGTTCTGTACAATCAATAATCACTCTGGTTGATGGATACTTAGATTTAAAGGATTCCGGCATAGTTCTGTTGATAATATCTCTGCTTGGAAATGGGTTTAGAAACTTGAGCTCGGCATGAATTAAACTGATCCAGGTTGTAAAATACATTGAAAATGAAGCACTGCTGATCTGGAATCTCTCTGATATATCCTGCACATAGAGTCCAACTTTCAACCTCATGAGGACAGCAAATAATTGATCAATTGGATGTAAGCAAGATGATGACATTCTCACTCTGTCTGTAGTTGATGTCTGTCCTTCCCCCCTCCAATATGTCATCCTTGAACATTTACTGGAAAGGTAACTGTAATCAATGAAATTACAGAATTAACATTCTGTGATGCTAACTTAAGTTATAGGAATTTTTAAAACCTAAAAATTTAAGCAGTCAATAACATCTGAAATATAATTTAATTTCTGCATAAACAATCACAATACCTCTGAAGAAGGTGAATCAGTTTTTTGATACATGACTGTAATTTTTTCCATTATTTATTATGATCATAACTTGTATAAAGATACATATTTGAAGATAATAAAAAGTTAAGAAAAAATGTCAACACTTGCTTGTACAGCCACAGGAAGATTGTAAAAGAAGGTAGCCCTGTGTAAAAACGTGTCATGCCATCATCATCTTTAATGCGCTCAGCAGACCATTTGTGTTTACGTAGGTCCTCTCGAAGTCTTCTTACTTCCTCTTTAAGGTTTCTGTTTTCTTTCAGGAGGGGGTCTTCTTCACATTGTACACCTTTAAATGTGTTTATATCATCAATAATTTATAGCAAGCAGAATTTTAAAAATTTATTTACATTTTACAAATCTACTGAATATCTTATATTGATATTGAAATTGACATACTAGTATCTTACTAAAAAGATATATGTTGCAATTGAAATATTCAGTTAAATAATCAATTCATCCCTGGTGTACCTGCATCACATGTCAGCTTAATGTCAACATCATCTGTTGGTCCATTTTCATCATGATCACTCAGTCTGGTTAAAGCATTTCCCTCTGTACTGTGATCACCTGACTCATCTGTTGATCTACAGTAGGAGCCATGTGCAAGCAGAGAAAACTCTAAATTAGCACTTTCTCTCTCCCTGTTTATCCTCTCTGAACAAAGTTTTTCCTTGTAAAAAAAAAAGTAGAGCAATAAAAATATTTTATACATGTATATTTATGTATTTTGAAAGAAATTGGGGTAATTTATAAATCCTGTGCAAAATTATATGAATAAATATGTTTTTGATTTAAAAGAAGGTAGCTCTGGGTAAAACGTGTTTTTTTTCTTCTTAAATCTGACATCGATCTCTCGTTGTACCTCCTATAAAACTTATGTTTGATTTTTAGGCCGTTTTATTTATAAGATTTCAAAAAATATATTGGTGAAAATCAAAGGTAGATACCTTGGTTGTTTCTCGATCAAGTCGTCTCTGTTCCCTGTTAAAATCTTCTTCCGATCGTTTCTGTTTATAGGCAAATATTGTTGGGGCATAATTGTCATCGCTCGGTTCATCTCCGTGCCACCCATCAACAAAATGTTGCGAGCAGATCCAGGTATGCTCGTTTGGCGTCCATTTATCCCTATTAACAGCTTTTATCCAGGCTCTTCTTTTTCTTTTGTTCTTGGGAAACCGAAAGAAACTGACACCCTTCGACCGTGATTCTCCATTACACACGTTTCGACACTTGTAAACACAACAAGATTTTACCATTTCCGTTCCTAATGAAAACAAATGAAGCTTTCCACTCGGAAGCGTTTGTGCGCATGTGCGAGTAACTGTCCCGCACTTAAGTTAAAAGACCTTATTGTCAATCTGTGCTGATACCAATTTTTTTTCTTATTATGTTATTAAAGATAAAATTTTATCAGTAAACTTCAGTTGTATGTTAACTGGTTAATGAAGAACAAGTAATAAAATTCCTAAATAAAAATTACAAAACTGTAGAGAGTTAAAATGTAACTAACATGAAAAATACCGTAACGGATGTTATAATGTAACATCCATCACAGTGCTTAAAATTCATGAAAATACTTTTAATATTTTTAATTAGTATTAGCAGAATGTTTGGATGGAGGTATTTAACTTCATTGCATGTATGAAATCATGTGTATTTTGAAGAAAACTTACGGAAAGCTTTAAAAATCATCGTCAATGTAACCTCCGTAACTAGCAAACTTTAGTTTGTCAATTTGTAAAATCTATTTTTGTCAAAAAGTCAAATATAACATCCGTTTATTATGCAGGATAAAAAATAGTTAAAGGAAGAAGTAATATACCTCATTCTGCTTTTTTAAAATGAAAAACTAGTTTTATTTCCTCATGTAGTGAAAAAAAAAAACACCGAAAACACGATTTCTTTGCAGAAAGTAAGAACGAAGAAAATGCAATAGCAGGAGAAGTTGACGTCACCTCCGTCACGATTAATTGTGCCTTATTTATTTTACAGATAGGTCATAAAAAGCTGTCTTATTCATTCCAAGTGAAAGCGTTCTGATTCATGCATGTGGAGGTTTTTTTAACGTTTCGAGGAGGGCGAAAAAACCTTCTAAATTCGCATTATCTGTGTCAACATAACGCCCCTCACTTTTTGATCAACTATATTTGGATGCAGTTTTCTTAAAAAATAAAAACGCAACAATCTTTTCTTTATGAATTCATGAAGGAAGGTATAAATATAGATGCTTTTAACTAGAAAAAGTGTAAAAATATCGACACAATTTTTTTTCACCGTGACGGCCGTTATTATTTACAAATAGCTGATCCTTGCCCATATGCAAACCTGTTCGCGCAGAAAGGGAGTGTATCAGAAAAATATCTCACTGATTCTAATAATGCTAAATAAATGTAGCCTTTTGATGAGGGCATTACCTAGATATATAGACCTTAGAGAAAGCATATCAGCTAAGCACAAAGTGCAAAATTGATACAGAGTGAGGTAAAAAAAAAAATGCCCATGATGATTTTACTTGCCCCTTATAAAGCTTGTTTTCTTTATTGTTTCGAACTGTCTGATGTACATGATTATACAATTATTACTGTTTTTGAGGTCGATACGATGATTTAGCCCCATGAGAAGTACAATATTCACCGACCCCGAAGGGCGAGGTTAATATTTTGTACTTTGAAGGTGGTTAAATCATTGTATTGACCTCAAAAAGACCAATAATTGTTCTATCATATGATTCAATGATTTAATGATACAAACTCATTTAGCAGTTTATGCCATCTTACTTGTTTACATTTGCTGAAGTCCTATGGGCAGCGGAAAGGGCAAAAATTACCATAATGAGAAAACAATTATTTTAATTTCAATGACCATAAAAACTTTACAAATGACATTCAAGGCATAATCAACAGACCTTTTTGCAAAACAAATATACATTAAAGCAAAACCAACGACCACGTACGTAACAAACATATATAAATGCAAAACGAACGGTCATCTTAGCAGAACAAACGTACATTAAAACATGACAAACGATAAAAAATTAACAAACGAACACTGGGTGGCGCTGCAGGTTTTTTAGTCAGTTCGTACCCTGACCGACTCGTAATGAAGTCAACTATAGCCATCAATTCTTGTTGCGAAGGGACTCTCTTGAAATTATAAATAATTAATGATAATTTATTAACTTAATAAAAGCTAACAAGTAGACCAATCCGGAAAGCGACACAATACTTCACGTAGTTCTTGGAATTTAGCGTACTGTTACTGCATTTCGGAGGCATGATAATTTTATTGTTTAATTTTTAAAAAGTATTTTCTAATTATGCATTGGCAATGACAGTTTTGAAGAAAATTCCCTTTTTTCATATACATGATCATATTAAATAGCTTTGTTTCAAAGAGTCAGTTTTTTCAGACCATTAGAGGTTACCCATTTAAAAAGCAGGAAATCTGTTACTTTTTGATACGTAGTAAAAACCAATGCAAAAAATTAAACACCTATTTCTGTTTGTTACTCTAAATTGTTCGTATTACGTATCTGCTATAATTTCATCTTATTGCTAATTGGTATCTTGTTTTTATCAAGTTTTTGATATACATATAGATAGATATTTATAAGCAAACACATAGCAACGATTTTCAAGTTGTGTATTTGTGCGATGTTTTTTTTTTGGGGGGGGGGGGGGAGAAAAATAATTTTTATTTCAAGGTGTTAGGGGGAGGTGGGTACGAAAGCCTATTAGGATCAAACTACGGTAAAAAAAATTTAAAAGGCGTTATTTCAAAAGGCGTTATAACGCGAAAAAAAGGCGTAATAACGCCTTTTGAAAAGGCGTTATTACGCCTTTCTAAAAGGCGTTATTACGCCTTTCCAAAAGGCGTTATACGCCTTTCTAAAAGGCGTTATTACGCCTTTCCAAAAGGCGTTATTACGCCTTTTAAAAAGGTGTTATTACGCCTTTCCAAAAGGCGTTATTACGCCTTTCTAAAAGGCGTTATTACGCCTTTCCAAAAGGCGTTATAACGCCTTTCTAAAAGGCGTTATTACGCCTTTCCAAAAGGCGTTATTACGCCTTTTAAAAAGGTGTTATTACGCCTTTCCAAAAGGCGTTATTACGCCTTTCTAAAAGGCGTTATTACGCCTTTTAAAAAGGCGTTATTACGCCTCTTTTTTTTCAATACATGACTTACTTAGCCCACCCTGGGGGCTGATTATAATTAGATTTCTAGGAAAAAAGATTTTTAAATATGTAAAATATTTTCAGTGTTAAACCAACTTAGTCCTTCTCTGATGCCAGACGCTTCTACCAAGGTGTATGGATTTCAGAAATTTTGTTGAAGGCTAATTGCTCATTATACCTATGCAAATACTTTCCCTGTTTTATACCAAGAGGAGAGAAAAATATTTTCAAATTTGACATGAATTTTTAATACGTGGCTAGCAAAGCCCAAAGCTGGTTCTGCCTATATCCTGGATTTTCAAAAGTAGAGTGATGACTTCTCTTAATATGCATGCAAAATACAAACAACTGTCTGCGAGATGTGCAGGAATATAGATAATACTATAATTTATAATATAATTTATAATAGTAAAACTATAATCTAAATATTGCATAAATAAAGACGGCTTTGGTTCAATCTTTCATATATTTACTATTTTAAAATAACGCCTTTCCATTTTTGGATACAACTCCTTTTCAAACAGGCCGGTAGTACGAATGTGAGTGGGGGGGGGGGGTGTCCCCCACCCCACTTTTTGGGAGAATAGTCTTGCTATAGGTTAAATATAAAAAAAATCATTTATTGTTTGCTTGGTCCCTTAACATTTTGTTGCAGTATGGTTAAACTCGGGCAAGTCATTGCATTTAAAAAAAGTTTTACCGAAAAATTAGAAAAAGTTTCCCCTCAAGTTTAGGCAGTTTATTTTTTTCGGGGAGGGGGGGGTCTTGTTTTTTTTTTTGTTTGCTTGTCAATTTTATGGGAAACCCCCCCCCCCCCCTTAAAAGCACGGGCTTGTCAAAAACATAATAATGGCCCTTCAAAAGGCATAATAACGCCTTTTCGAAAGGCGTATTAATGCCTTTTAAAAAGGCGTAATAACGCCTTTTAAAAGGCGTAATAACGCCTTTTGGAAAGGCTTAATAACGCCTTTTGGAAAGGCGTTATAACGCCTTTTAGAAAGGCGTAATTACGCCTTTTGGAAAGGCTTAATAACGCCTTTTGGAAAGGCGTTATAACGCCTTTTGGAAAGGCGTAATTACGCCTTTATTTGCGTTATTACGCCTTTTCCGCGTTATAACTCCTTTTCAAAAGGCGTTATTACGCCTTTTTTCGCGTTATAACGCCTTTCGAAAAGGCGTTATAACGCCTTTTAAATTTTTTTTACCGTAGTTTGATCCTAATAGGCTTTCGTAGGTGGGAATAATTGACAAGCAAGTAATAACGAGAAAAAAGAAATAAAGGAGATTCGATTATACTGCGACAAAAAGAAGGAGCTAGGATCAAAATAATTTAAACAATTTTACGAGAATTTGAAAACTTATTTTACACCAAAATGGGGACGCAGATCGCCTTTCCCATTCGAGGACTACAGGACCGCTGGTTAAAATGACATAACATGCCATTTTGAACATATAATGGAAATTCTATATAGTAAAAAGCCGTAACATTGCATCTATATGTTCAAGTTAACATATTTTAATAAACCTCTTGCAGTTCATTACACCAGAAAACTCGTTGCCTTACATATAAGGCATGCAAGGCACTCAGTGAAAATACTGATTTCCTTGTAAACTGCTTTTCCTAAAGGAATTTCTAATTGAATTATAGCTATAATTATAAACCTAAACCAGGGTTTTGTTTTACAGCAGCATATATATATATATATATATATTTAACGTAGTATTCTATACATTGTTGAATCTCAGCCAATCAGAGGGATAGGAATGATTCAATCATGTAATAAATTTATTTATTGGGAATCGGAGCCCCTTGTCAAATCTAGAAGCACTTTGTTTCATTTTCATGACATTGCCATATATACACAGAAAATTGTCAATATTATGACAGGATCCACTTATCCTGGTCGATTGTCACTTGTCCAGGACGAATGCCTATTTTGCACCTGGTGATATATGTTTTCTCCGAGGTCTATATATCTAGGGATTGTACCAAATCAAAAGAATATATTTGTTTTATTATTTCTATATATCAGTTTTTGAGAAATTTCTTAAAAATCCATGTTTCTAATACTCAATAGTTTCTTGTAT